AAGCTTTTATGGGTGATCTGAGGGCCCATCCACACAGTATCTTTATCCTAGGAGCTCCCGGTTCAAAATGGAGGGTGGCTATACAACGTCCCCTGAAAACATAGGAGAAATCACTACAAAGTGCTAAAAATGCAAGATTTTCAGTTGAGGAAATATCCTGGTTTTGGCCGGAAAATGCGGATATCTGAATCTCTGTATGTCACTAAACTTTGAAAATACAGGGCTTTATGTTGGTTTGTTCCCTGATTATACATGTTGGTTCCTATTAATTGTATCCTAAAAACATGGCAACTGTTGACTAGATGGCAAAAATTTTATCCTAGCAAAAGAAACTTTGTCCTCCACACATATAATCAAGATAAAAGCAATGAGGTACAGGTATATATAACTCAGGAACATCACCCCATTGTTCCCAGGCACAGGTATATGGCCAAACCTGTCTGGACAGATGGCCATGTAGCCTCTGAATGATGATGACGATAATAATAATAATAATAATAATAATAATAATAATAATAATAATAATAATAATGTTCTGTTCCTGGCTTGAAAGTGTCTGTTCCTGTTTAATAGTGTAGTCCTGACTTTGAAAGAAGTGGTTTGACTCCACAAAATTTGTTATGTGCCACAAACTTAATTAAATGTCTGGAGGATGACGTTTCTCTTGCCAGGAAAGTTTTTGCCCTCTAGTCAACTTCTGCCATCTTTTCAGGATAATAGCAATGAGGAACAGATATGTATGACCCAGGAACAAAATTCATACAGACAATGTGCATATTTGCATCTACACATTTAAAGTTTTTTTTATAAAAATGCCAAAATTTCTGGCGGAAGTCCCGCAGCGGCCATCTTGTGGGCTTTAAAATCTCATAACAAAGCAGCAAGTCTGGACTTCACAGGCAGAAATCCCAGGAGCAACAGTTTGGTGGTTTCTGGAAGCTCCCTAAGTAATGTCATCAATTCCATTCCTTTCTATGCTTTGTAGATGTAGTTAGTTACATGCACCCCCCACCCCAAGTGAAACTTGATGTTTATCCTCATGACACTGAGATCAGTACCTGTGGTTTCATTTATCCATGTCCGACAATGTTTTCCTGGTCCTTGTACATCCATTTTAAAAAAGGTTGTTTTTTTTAATCATGTATCAATGCAAAATACAGAAACTTATCCACTGAGGATATGGGGGGTGATACCAGGGCCGTAGCCAGGTTAAAAAACAAGCCTGGTTTATTCATAACTTGGTTAACCAGTTAAAATTCTTGAGTAAACCAGGTTTGGGGAGGGTTAGAACCCTTAACACACACCCACCTCTGGTTACAGCCCTGGGTCATATTGTTGTTGTTTTTGTCGTGTCAGGAGTGACTTGAGAAACTGCAAGTCACTTCTGGTGTGAGAGAATTGGCCGTCTGCAAGGATGTTGCCCAGGGGATGCCTGGATGATTTGATGTTTTTATCATCCTTGTGGGAGGGTTCTCTCGTGTCCCCACATGAGGAGCTGGAGCTGATAGAGGGAGTTCATCTGCCTCTCCCCAGATTCGAACCTGCGACCTGTCAGTCTTCAGTCCTGCCGGCACAGGGGTTTAACCCACTGTGCTACCGGGGGCTCTGGGTCATACTGTGTAATTCAAATACAGGTTCATCAGCTTAGGCAGGGTTAAACATCAGGTCTTATCACTTTAATTGTACAATGGAACTTTGTCGCCTATTATTGTGATGTAGTAGATATTATATTAGAAAAAAATCTTGAAGTTTCCATTGAGCATATAACTTCCAAAAAGCTCTAGCCATCATAGACAGTGGTGACGGATGCTTGCAGTTGCAGCTCAACAATATCTGGAGAGCCTCACAGTTCCCATTCATTCCACTATCTCAGCCTGACACAATAGGGTTGTTGTTAAAAATAATGACATAAAGCAGGGAAGGAAGTAAATGTGATTAAAAAAACCCAGTGGGACAGGGGAAGAGAAAGGACAGCTGGGAAGAGAAATGCTCAATCTATTGCAACACAGTTTTTATTCTTGCCAAATGTGTACAAATAGTGTCATGCCATGCGTCTATTTTTTGTCCACAAATGGTTTCTAGCAAGGATTGCATCACATTAGAGATGATCTGGAATTCCCCATTACGTGAAGATTATGTAAAATGAAAATAAACATGGCTTGGCTTTGAGCCAATCCTGGAGTCCTAGTCCACTTGAGGTGGGCAATTTCTGGAGGGCTCCATTTGGACCACCCTCCCAACCCCGCAGGGGGGAACTCCAACCCTGCCGTTGCTGAATTCATTGAGTTTGTGGCAACAGGAGCAGAGTTGCTGCTTTTATGATATGACTCTGCCCACAAGGAAGACCTTTGTCTCAGTCCTGCCACCTTCACAGGTATGGCTGCTGGGAACAGGAGAGAGGACCTTCTCAGTGGCTGCCCCCAAACTCTGGGAGTTCCTCCTTAGAGAGGCCTTTCTTGTTGTCTTTCCACCAGCATTTTAAAGTAAAGTGTATGTTTTAATATGGTTCTCAATTTAATTTAGTTTTGATATTTTTGTATGTTTTTAATTATTATATTTTTAATGTACAAGCCACCGTGAGTCCCAGTCTTGAGGGGAATGCTGAAAATGAAGTAAATCTATATAAATAAAAATGTAATGTTCGTTTGTGGGATTAACATAACTCAAAAACCACTGGACCAATGGACACCAATTTTGAACACAATACACCTATCAGGCCAACAAGTGACCATCACTCATAAAAACACTGAAAACGACAGTGGAAAAGACTTTAAAAGCCAAAAAATAAAAAATACATTACAACTCATGTGCAAAACCACACACACACACAACACACACACACACACAACACATATACACAGACTGGGCCACAGCAACATGTGGCAGGGGATGGCTAGTAAATTGATAAAGATAAGCAAGGCATGAGGCTCATGCACACTTTATTTTCTAAGTGATTAACTTCCTAGATGCTTTAGAAGCATGCAGTTATTTTGAAAAGAAGAGATGCACTTTAAAATAACCTTGACTGAATCCATCCTTCCTTGAAATCAAAAAGCACTTCTTTGCCAGATTCTTTGAGCACTATCTCTCACCAATAAGGCCATTTGTTCCACCCACTACCATTCACACACACAACTGGAAAAATATTGTGTGTCTGGAATGTTCACATAGTACAATACCTGGGGCTAAGAGCCAATCATGAAAAAGGAAAGGGGACCCAAAATGAGGACTGAATTTATCATCAGAGTATTTGAAAAGATGACATCATACAATCCTAAAGCTCAGGTAAGAACAGCTGATTCACTTATGTCTCCATGAAATTGGACCAGCTCCTCTGACAGAAGTGCCATGGCAATGAGATCATGTGCAGGTACCTCATGTGCAATTTTCCCCCCTTGAGTTATATGCACTCTTCTCCCTTACTATAGGTAATCAGAATTCAAGTTTCTGCACATCACCCATATATAGCCCGTTTAAGCAACTCTTCAGTAGTGGAACATGCTGCCTCAGAGTGTGGTGGCATGTCCTTCTCTAGAGGTTTTTAAACAGAGGCTGGATGGTCCTCTGCCAGGAGTGCCTTGTGTATTACAGAATGACAAGAAGTTGGACTAGCTCTCCCTAGTGGTCCCTATAATGACTTGTGTTGCAATCTGTTTCATGCATAAAGCCTAAGCATCATCATTATCATCATTTTTATTTATTTATACACCACTTTATATCTCCCAAATGGGACTCAAAGTGGATTAACATAAAATATACATAAAATATTAAAATATACAAATATACAAACATACAAACATTAAAACAGGATTAGATATATCGTAAACAGTATTAAAAATCAATTCTGATGTAGCACAAAGTAAGCCACTATACCTCCCATTTCTATGTTTGGTTGTGGAAGCTGCTCAATGAAGCTGAGAAAAATAAAACCAATTCATTTGAAATGCAGAGCTGGAGAAGAATTCTACATATATGGTGGAGTGCTAAAAAGCCAAATCATTTGGTCCTGCTGCAACTCACTTCTGGTGTGAAAGAATCGGCCATCTGCAAGGACGTTGCCCAGGGGACGCCCAGATGTTTAATGTTTTACCATCCTTGTGGGAGGCTTCTCTCATGTCCCACATAAAGAGCTAGAGCTGACAGAGGGAGCTTAACCAGCTCTCCCCAGATTAGAACCATTGAACTATCGGTCAGCAGTCCTGCCAGCACAAGGGTTTAACCCATTGCACTACTGGGGGTTCAAGTCACTTGCAATTTCTGAAGTCACTGCTGTCATGAAAAGAAAATCTAGCTTGAACTCTCCCTAGATGCCAAGATGACTAAACTGGGACTGTCCTGCTTTGGCCATATCAAGAGAAGACAGGACACAATAGAAATAACAATAATGCTTGTTAAGATAGAAGGCAACAGGACAGTAGCCAAAGCAGCAAGGATATGAAATATAGCAGTAGTTATTCCATTTTTTTAAAAAAAGAATAAAGTTAATATTAGGTACAAGAGGGAAGAATATTTTCATCAGATGTGTAGTACATGGAAAAGGATGTTTCATACCTGTCAGCATTTCCACAGATACATGCAGGAGAATGTGTAGCCCAGGAACGACAGAGTGTGGTCAAGATGACAACAGAGAAAGAGAAAGAAGACACAAGGTATATAAGGCTACAAAGAATTGCTTTTGGCTGGATCTAGAAGGAAAAGTAAGATTCCACCCTCTCCTCTGAGTAAACTAATGGTAAGCTACTTTTGTACTTTGAAATCAATTTGCAATCACTAAAGTAAGCTGAGAACAAATAAGAGAAGTCAGGGGATGAGAGAAAAACTGGGACATTTTAAAAGCAGCAGAAAAATTGGGAAGACAAAAAAATAATCAAAATTGCCCATGACATTTACAGACAGATGGAAGGTATGTTTACTAACCTTTCCTTCCCCAGCCATATTTCTGGGCTGCTGTTGATGCTGGGCTTATGAGATACATTTTATGTTATTGGGTGTAAGCTCATAGAAGCAATGAAGAGTGATTTTAATCAGAATGATAGTTGGCAATGGAAAGATTTATTTCTTCACTTATGTATTACTAATTATATTTACCCCTTTGAGGAGTTTAAAGCATGTATATGACTCTCCTCCTCAACTTACGACAATCCTACGAAGCAAATCAGGCTCAGAAAGAGTGGTACATTGCTGCTTACCAAATTCACATTTATTGGTCCACTGGAAGTCATCAACAGGGCCTGGAAACATTTTTCACTGTCATTGCCTTGGTAGTTATGGCACATACATTCCTTAGAAGGAACTTTTCAGAGCTTTGTCCAAAATACAGCCTCCACATCCAACCTCTCTGTAACATTGTGTTACACATGGAGAAACCTAACCATATAATACAAATTTGTCTTCCTTCAGTGGCAGTGGCATATCATTGGAGGAAAAGGTCTCACTGTTGGAAAGGGCAAGATTATCTTCATGGCCAGCTGCTTGGATGATGAGTGGAGCATCATTTCCCCCAGCCTTTACCCCAGGGTAAAAGTAAGGCTTCAGGGCTCCCGAGAAGGAGTCTGCAAATGTAAACAAGTGTGATCCACTGTCAGCATTGTAGAAGGAAACCTCTCCTGTGTCGTAATCCAAGAAAATGCCTATGGTCCTAGGCGGGGTTCTCAGTGCGAGTTCTGTGAGGGGAGAGGTCAAGGCTGCATACTCATCACCGTTCCTCAGCCACACTGTCCAGAACCCCGTGGCTGGCGAGGGTGTGAAAATCCCCTGGCGACTCACAGACTCTCGGCACACTCCGAGTGTCCAGCTGGTCTTGCCTTCCACACAGACCTCCCAGTAGTGCCTCCCAGATGTGAACTGCTGGCAACCCATGAGGCATGTGCATGTCTCAAATCGGGAAGAGTTCTTGGGCAGATCTTGTTTCCGATCTCCAACTTGAACACTGAGCAGGTCCTCTGAGAGAAGCAGGTAGGGATTTGCTGTGTCAGGGTCAAAGGTTACTGGGACTGCAGGGAAAAACACATACGGTTAGTTTAGAATCCCTGTTACTGCACTAATATAAAGCATAAAAAACTCATTGGATCTGCCTTTAAACCAAGTCAAAATATGTATCCATGAAAGAGAAAAATATCTAAATGGTTGGGAATTGAGTGGCCATTCAGATTGTGGACTGCAATTCTCACCATCCTTCATTATTGATTATGAATAAATAATACAATGACCAGGGCTGCTAGCATGTGCAGACCATCAGCTTTTGGGGAGCCATGGCAGCTGATCTAGATGGACTCTTCCACTGCTCTTTGCTTTCTAGAAAGTTGGACTGGATAGCCTCTTTGGCCTTATCCAATTCTATGATAAACACTGAGGCTATGCCACATGCAACTGTCTTAGGTCAAAACCTAACATTTCAATGTTAATAATATATTTAAAATGATGGTCTTCTTTACAAATATTTAGAGCAAGTGACAGCCAGCACAGTGTGGTAGGTTGAGTGTAGGACTAGGACTTTGAGGCTGGATCTACACTGCCAGGCATGTAGCCCGGGGGGGGGGCTTGAGGGGCTTCAGCCCCCCCCCCCAAATTCTCATGGTGGTTCGCGAAAAGACCTTACTGGTGCATTATTTAAACTGTTATGTTTATTTATATCATGATCTGATCACCATACTCAATATATCCCATATGCATGGGGGTATTGGGATAATGATACAAAAGGTTTGCTAGGGTAGACCCTCTTTCACTCAGACTCAGCCCCCCCCCCCCCCCCCCGAAACCCCACCTGAAAAAAAACTCACCCCCCCCCCCCCCCCGAATCGAAATCCTGGCTAGAGGCCTGTACACTGCCCTATATCCCAGGATCTGATCCTGGATTATCTGATGTGAACTGGATTATATGAGCCTACACTGCAAGATAATCCAGTTCAAAGCCGATGTTCTGCATTTTATATGGTAGTATAGAAGCGGCCTGAGAGACAAGGTTTCAAATCTCTGCTCAGCGTAACTTTGGCCAGGTCATGTTTTCTCAGCCTTAGTGAAAAGCAGTGACAAACCTCTGAGGCCCCTTCTACACTGCCATATAAAATGCAGAACATCGGCTTTGAACTGGATTATCTTGCAGTGTAGGCTCATATAATCCAGTTCAAGGCAGGTAATGTGGATTGTTTGCATTGATAATCTGGATTATATGGCAGCATAGAAGGGGCCTCAGAAGAAGTTTCTTAACTGCTTTTCAGTGAGGCTGGGAGAACATAACCTGCCCAAAGTTACCTACTAGCTTTTTATTTACCTCTGTATTTTCGGAGAGACTCCAAAAGCCCAGGGACGTCATAAGACTCCTGCAGATCCATCGAGATGGGCTGTAATTCTTGCAGGGATATTCCTTCACTCCTAGGGAGAACATGTCACTGGTTAAATAATAGAAAGCCAAAGAAACCAATTTGTGGAATTTCTGGGTTATAAAAACCATTAAGGTGCAAACCTAGATACACCTAATTAGCTAAAAGTGAACAATAAGTAGATTTAACATTTGCCTTCCATAGAAATTTAGCATACTGACCTGATCAAAGTGTTTTTCACATCCTAGAGAAGAAGAAAAAATCACTATAAATGGCCATGTTTTTGAACACTGTTCGAGATAACTATATATACAGCATTCTAGAATTGCAGCTGCTTTGTCAAGGAGGATCCCCGCCTAACTCCACATACATTATTATTTAATTGCAGTTTCAAACAAAAAGTAAAGTGTAGAGATATTCCTTAGAGACCTAATGGGATTATGCAAATTAGATGCATTCTGGTATAATGTGTATCACAAAATTTGCATTCTTTCCAAACAATGCTAGATCCATATGCAAAGTAATCTCAATACTGGAGTATCTACTTGGGTACAGAAGCCAAAGAGAAGAGACAATTTTATTATTTTGCCATTTTTGACTATTTATTCTTGCCTTCACTTCTTAGGCTAAATGTTTCTGAACAACTGAATGTCATGTATTAGTCAGAATATTATTTCAAGTGACTCAAATTCAAATTCTCTACTCAGGGTGCATTTACTGTATACAGTTTGACACCACTTTAACTGTCACAATGCTCTGGGATCATGGGAGCTGGAATTGTACAGTTGTATAATCTGCCAAAGAATGCTGCTGTCTCACTTAACTCTAAATCCCAAGATCCCATTACATTGAGCCTTAGCAGTTAAAGTGGTGTCATACTGAATTAATTCAACACTGGAGACACAGCCTCACCTTCAGGTACCTTGGGTCATTCACTCTATTTAAGACTAACATATCCCAAAGAGTTGCTGCCAAGATAAAATTGGCTAGGAAGAAAATGATATAAATCTGTTCAATGCACACACACAGACAAAAAAAAAAAACCTTCCAGAATACTCAAACCAATGCAACAGCCCGTAGTAACATTTCCAAACCTGGAGAATCTCACCTTGAGGAAAGAGGCTGCCGGCTGCTGGCATTTCTGCTCCATTTCCAATATCAGCTGCTGTAGCCCAGCACATTGCCCTGCAAGGAAAGCCCAGTTCGTCTGCAACTTCTTCACTGTCACTTGCTCTTCTTCATGAAGCTGGCTCAAAAGCAGCTGCTCCTCTTTGGCCATTGCTTGGCGGCGTTTTTCGAAACCTGATTTGATGAGCGCTCGACATTCCTCTACTTTATCCTACCAGCAAGGAGGGACAACAACAGAAAATCTCATCTTAGCTCCTAACACCCAGGTTACACTCTGTTTCTGCTCTTTATAATAATACAGCCTGCCATAGCTAAAAGAGTAAACAAACTATTTAAGAATTCAAAATCATAGCTGTCTTAGCCTAGAATTTCAGTGTACCAAGAGATTCTGTAGCACCTCATAGGGCCCTTCCAGACAGGCCCTATATCCCAGGATCTGATCCCAGGTTTTCTGTTTATCCCAGATTAACTGGCAGTGTGGACTCATATAATCCAGAATAAAGCAGAAAACCTGGGATCAGATCCTGGGATATAGGGCCTGTCTGAAAGGGCCCTAAGTCGAACTAAAGAAAAACATAATAACATAAAGTTTTGTACTTTTTTGGATAACTCCATGCATCTGGGAAAGTAGACTCAAGTCCATAGGCCCTTCCACACAGCTGAATAAAATTCCACAATATCTGCTTTGAACAGGAATATATGGCAGTGTGGACTTAGCCCGGATCTAGACAGGCCTTTATCCCAGAAGCTTCCATATTAAAAAACATGGATGTTTCTGGGGGCGCAGAAAGTGTGCGCTTTCTGGTGTAGGTGTCCAGACGTACTCTTGGGACTAGCCCGAGAGAATGTCTGGAGGCCCTACCCCCTAAGCCCCCAGACCCCTTAGAAAAGTAATTACAAGTAATTACAAGCCTCAGGCGGCTCTCCTGGTATGTAGAAATGACGGGCCAGGAAAGGGGGGAGGAGTGATTTTCTTCCCTTCTTCCCTTCTCTCCCCTCTCCCCCCCCCCCCCCCCCCCCGCTCCTGGCGTGTCATTTCTACACACCAGGAGAGCTGACTGAAACCTGTAATGGAGGCCAGGTAATTTTTCATTACTTTTCTTAGGGGTCTGGGGGCTTCAGGGGAGTGGGGCGGGTATTCCCACAGTTTAAATTGCTTGTATTTTTATTGTTATTGCTTGTATTGTTGTATTTTGGGCTCGGCCTCATGTAAGCCACACCGAGTCCCTTGGGGAGATGGTAGTGGGGTATAAATAAAGTATTATTATTATTATTATTATTATTATTATTATTATTATTATTTACCAGGCTTATTTAGCTCGGTAAACTGTGGGAATGGTGTCTGGACTGTAGTGTTATCTCATATTGAAGAAACAGTTACATTAAGTCATAAATAAGCAAAATTTAATGGAGGCATGGGCTAAGGATTTCCAATCTCTGTTATGTAAGTATGTATGCCAAGTTTAGCCCATGATGTTTTGCTTCTTTGGGTGAAAGGTGAAGTGTCATTGTCTACCATGACTCAGACAACAAATAGAATGCCAAGTAGAAAACACTCCTGATAGTTGGTCATCCGGTTTCTATTTGGAAATCTCCGAAGGAGACTCCACCACACTGTGCGGTGGCATATTCCACTGTCAAATGGCTCTTACTACAAGGAAGTTCTTCATAATGTTTAGGTGAAATCTCTTTTTCGGTAGTTAGAATCCATTGCTCCGTATCCTAGTGGCTGGAGCAGCAGGAAACACGTTTGCCTCATCTTCCATACAACATCTTTACATATATAGTAATAATAATATGATATTTTATTAATTATATTACATCTAATATTACTAATAATATTACAATATAATGGTATTTATTTATTTGGGCTTTTATATCTCGTCCTATCTCAACCTCCGCAGAGGGACTCAGGATGGCTAACAAATTGGCACCCCATGGAGCCCACATCAGAAAACATAAATATACAATTTAATGACAGTATAATTATAACAGTATAAAACAATATAAAACAGTATAAAAAACAGTCAAGCAGTCAGCGGTTACCAGTTTAAATCATCCAAAGGGCAGCCAATCAATTCTATATAAGTCATCACGTCAGCAAGTCAGCCTAATGTACAAAAGCCTGATCCCACAGCCAGGATTTTATTTGTTTTGGGAAAGTCAAGAGGGATGGAGCGGATCTAATTTCACTCGGGAGGGAGTTCCATAGCCGGGGGGCCACCACGGAAAAGGCCCTGTCCATTGTCCCCACAAGACATGATTGCGACAATGGGGGAACAACGAGCAGGGTCTCCCCAGATTATTTTAGGGCCCTAGGTGGATTGTAGTGGGAGATACGTTCGGAAAAGTAAACCGGGCCAAAACCGTTCAGGACTTTATAGGCCAAAGCCAGCACTTTGAATTGTCCTCGGAAGCTGATAGGCAGCCAGTGGAGCTGGCGTAACAAGGACGTTGTGCGCTCCCTGTACCCAGCCCCGGTGAGCGTTGGACTAGTTGAAGTTTCTGGGCAGTCTTCAGAGGCAACCCCACGTAGAGTGTGTTGCAATATTTGGGATGGTATAGTACAATACAGTAATATATAATACTGATATTGCACTATGCTAACAATATAATATGTGTATGTATATATCTTGTAAGCCGTTCTGAGTCCCCTTTGGGGTGAGAAGGGTGACATATAAATGTCATAAATAAATAAATATTTTAAAATGACTGTTACAGCATCTCATAGGCCTCTTCTATACTGCCATATAAAAGCCAGATTATTGGCTTTGAACTGGATTATATAACAGTGTAGACTCAGGTCCCTTTTACACTGCCATATAATCCAGATCATCAAATCAGATAACCCACACTATCTGCTGTAAACTGGATTATATGTGCCTACACTGCCATATAATCTAGTTCAAAGCAGATAATCTGGTTTTAATATGGCAGTGTAGAAGGGGCCTTAGACAGTCCAGTAGCTAGTGTAGATTATCTGCTTCGATCATCTGGATTATATGGTAGTGTAGAAGAGGCTTTAAACTACTCTTATCCAGGCTAAACATACACAGCATCCTAAACCACTCCTATTAGGGCATGGTTTCCAGACATGGATCATTCTCATTGCCCTTCGCTTGAATGGTGACACCCAGAACTGGATGCAGTATTCTGAGCGAGTTCTAATCAAAGGTGAACAGAGTATGTACTTCTCTTGATCTAGATACTATATTCCTGTTGATAAAACCTAAAACTGTATTGTTAGAGGAACAACTGTGAGTCCAGGAGGAACAGTGTGGTTGCCACTGTCCCATAGACTCTGCTGTTTCCTGATGTTAGGATTGGTCCTAATTGTGTGTGAGGGTTGAGACTTACCATCTTTTAGGCTTGCAAAGATAGGGGAGGCCTACTAGAGCAGGAAAATAAAAATCAGTTTACTTTAACAGCAACTTTTTAATGTAAGAACTGAACTTCCCATGGCATGGTGATAAACCAGCTAATGCTTGACTAATACACTGTTACTGAATACACACTTGTTGGTGCCTATCAAAAAATTGACAGCTCTACATTACTTGCTCAAACAAGCCTACATTTTTCAACATTATTGAATGAAAAGAGATTTTCTGCCTTTAATCCCTTGAGGTATAGTAGTGCTGTAGTTGGTACAGTGCAGTGTTTTGGTTTTTTTTTAAGGTCAATAACATTTCTCAGAATAGATTTGTCAAACATCCTCTTCCACCCTCCAGTTGTAGACCTGCATTCCTCAGAGATGAGAAAGCATCAAACTAAAAAGGAAATACCCCCTCACTCAACAGTACTATATTATGCAACAAGGGTTGGATCTACACTGCTACATACAATGGTTCAATGAAAAGTAATGCCTTCACCTTCGTTACTTGGGTTTGGTTGGGAATATTTTATTAAATCAAACGCAGAAATAATCCTTAGAATGTGCTCTTTAACTACCACTATTCACTTTTCCACATAATCGCCAGACAATTGGATACATTTCTGCCAACAATGAACAAGTTTTATGAAGCCGTCACGGAAGAAGTTGACACAGTGTTTCCGCAACCAGTGTCTCACAGTTCTCTCAACGTCTTCATCAGAAGCATAATGATTTCCCCTCAGATCTACTTTCATTATCGGGAACAGAAGGAAGTCAGACGGTGATAAATCTGAACTGTATGGAGGATGACGTACGGTGGTGAGATCCAGTCTCTGAAGTTCTGCTGTGGTGCCATGTGAAGTGTGTGGTCTGGCATTCTCATGCTGCAGGAAAACATTCCCCTTTTTCTTTTGGACCTTTGTTAGCCATCGTTTCAAAGTTTGCAGCATTGTGATGTAATGCTCTGAATTTATTGTTGATCATCCTGACTCAATCTGTCAACCTTTTGCTTGTGAAACTCGGTGGTTGCCGTCACAGTACATCCTTTGTTTGTCACACAAGTCAGATGTTCCCACCTCAACATCTTTAAACTTACTCGCCCAACGACGCACAGTACTCACATCAGCACAATCACCATAAGCAGCTTGCATTCTCTGATGAATCTCCTTTGGGTGACACCTTCTGCTGTCAAGATTTCAATGACTGCACATTGCTTAAATCACATTGACCGACCGTCTGTGCAGGGTTCCATACTTTGCACTTTACCAACACAACTGTTCAATGCTAAGGCTTCCCGCCAAAATGGAACTGTAGAGGAGAGTCTACTGAACAAGCCAGTACCTGCCACATACCAGTACTGCCATCTGTTGAGGAGTTACGAAGGTGGAGGCATTACTTTTCATTCAACCCTCGTAAAATCCAGATTATCTGCTTTGAACTGGATTATATGGCAGTGTAGACTCAGATAATCCAGTTCAAAACTGATAATCTGGATTTTCTGCTTTGATCATCCTGTTTATATGTCAGTGTAGGGGGCCCTATGCTGCCGTATAATCCAGTTCAAAGCAGAAAATTTGGATTTTATATGGCAGTGTAGATGGGGCTGCATAGGAGGAACCAAAGGGGAAAATCTCCATGAGATCTTTGAAACTGTACATATTTGATGTAAGCAAGAAAGCTTAACTAATGTATTGAGCAATGGTGGGGTTTACCCATCCAGCCCAACAAAAGGACTTCCTGTTAATTCAACCAACTTGCAGATTGTTCTTGTTTTTTTCTTTCAAGAAGCACGTGCGTAAAATGATGGCTCTGCCTTTTGTTACATCACAGAGAAGGAGGAACCCACTGTGATACACACATCCATCATCATAGCTTTGATCCTACTACTTTAATCTTTTTTTTTTAATAACAACAACTATACACACAAACATTCAGCAGGTGTCATTTCCTTGAACATTTTCCCTACCGGTTCTTCTATGGAAAAGCTTTACACTGTTTACACTTGCTGTTTTAAATGGGCATGGGAACATGGAAGGTAAAGAAAGGTAATCAGAGCTCCACATTCTCTGGGGTTAAGGACACATGAGGCCCCTTCCACACAACTGAATCAAATCCCACATTATCTGCTTTAAACTGAAATATACAGCAGTGTGGACTCAAATATTGCTCAACACAGATATTGTGGGTTTTTCTGCCTTGATATTCTGGGTTATATGGCTGTGTAGAAGAGCCCTGAGAGAACATTTTGCTAGGAATTTCTAGGTCTTCCAGCATGACTCGATGGCCATCTTCAGCTGAAAGCTGACAGTGCTGGATCTACACTGCCATATAATCCAGTTTCAGAATGTGGATTGACTGCATTGAATTGAATTATATGGCAGTGTAGACTCATATACTCCACTTCAATGCAGTTAATGGAGGTGTGCAAAATGCCAAAAATCTGTTTAGATTCAAAATATGAATTTAGTATGTCCCCTATTTTGTTTTGTGTTTTTAAACTGTCTTGAGAGGTCCGTTTTGTTTTGAATTCACACCAAAAATTCATTAATATTTTGCTTTGTTACTCCGCTTGTTTGTGCCAGTGGGATCACTTCCGGGGCTCATTTCTCTGTCATTTTTCAGGCTACCATGATGAAACTGGCTATACTTGTAGGACACATTTACCACTGTAAGCCCCCCAAATTTCAAAACGTTTCATTCATCCACTGAGTTTTGGAAATTTTGTAAAAAAAATTACAAATAACTTTTTTTAAAAAATACAAGAGCTATTGCCTTGAACGTATCTACAATAACATGAGAAAAATGACTTTTACAACAAAATCAATGATGAGATGAGATAATAGATGGTATCTGGGGAAATCTAATCCAAAACTACTGCCACTGATTACACTGGTCAACACACATTTTGATACCTCAAATATTATCCCTCTTTCAAGATATATTTGATCTGCTGATTCCAACAATGGCACTAGTTTTCCCTATCAGCTGTAGAGATACAGACATATGGCATCTACCAGTCTTTATCTGCTCACCCATAGAAAATCATGATAACCCATATCTAAGAAACTAAAGCTGATGCAGTGTATCCAATGCAATCTCTCCTCCCCGCTCCCAACATGCCATTTTCACACAGCGTGAGCTTTCGCCTGAGGTGTCTGAGCATATAGCCAGGCCCCTCACATAAATTTTGAGGGTAAATGTGGGGCTAGGGGGGTAGAGTGGTTGTGCCCTCCCACTCCTTTGGGCAATTGGAGCCCAAAAAATTAGGATCGCCATGGGGATTAACCTCTGGGATTACGGAAGCGGTTCTGGGATGGATCACACCTGGAAAGAGTTTGACCACTAAGATCTGGATCTTTTCGGGTGTTTTATTAATCTGGAGTAAACTGGGGAATCCAAGTTTACTCCAGATTAATTTGAATTTATTTGGTAAACCGTGACAGGTCCCATATTTTGGGCCTGCCTGGAAGGACCCTGAGGCATCATTTGGGTGCCTCAGGCTAATCCGAAAGTAAACAGAGGCTTTACACCTGTGCAGACGGGCCCACTGTTACCATATTTTCGTATTTGAAGCAGGACATTCATCTCTGTAATTGGACTACTTCTGTAAGAAGCTAGGGACTAAATACCTTAAAGGTGCCAAACATTCTCATCTTGTGAGCTAAAGAATGTCAGCTCTGTCTACTACTTGAAAGGGAGATTGCTCAACAATACCAAATGCATAGGAAAGAACTGGCAAAACCACCTCTGAGTAGTTCTTGCCAAAGAAAGATCTATGAAACATTTATGGGGTCAAGTTGACAGGCAACTTGACGTCACACTCACTCAAGCACACATAGAAGCTAGAACTTGTGTTTGGTGCTGCTTCAAAAAGTTTTTTCTTAGGGGATTACCTTCCACTGAGTTGTTTTCGCTTCCTCTTGTGCCTCCAGTTTTTTTGCTTCTTCTAGAACTGTCTTGAGAAGAGCCACAGCTTCCTGGAGCTTAATCTGTGAAAGAAGCACATCATTACAGATACAGTGGGGAGCGGTTTGATAGCATTGATCTAGAACCAGCGCCATAGCCAGAAAATTTTTTTGGGAGGGGTTGAAATTTTCGGGAGGGGGGTTTTGAAAATTTCGTGGGGGGGGGGTTGAAACCTGCCTCGTAGCTCACGCTGAAGCAAAGAGCACAGCAGGGGGCAGAGCAGCCTTCAATAGCCTGCATCTTGGCCCCTGTCAACCACCTCCACCAAGTCTGGCCTCCTTAATGAGAGCATTCAACACACACACCCACAACTTGGTTGCTTCGCTACATTTGCTGCAAGTAATGACAGTGTGAATAAATTGTCAATATTTGCCTGAGATAGTGCTTGCAGTTCTGGAGGGACTCTTAATTTTTTGCATCTCATAGACTTAGCATGGGGATTTGGTTAACCAGTTAAAATTCATGAGTAAATCAGGTTTTTAAAAAAATCTGAAACATTTCGGGGGGGGGGTGAACCCCTCCCTCCCCCCCCTCCCCGCTACAGGCCTGCATAGAACATATTTTGGATGAGGGTCTTTTTTCATGACAAATACGTACCCATTTGTCTTCAATGTCTGAATTTTGTGATTCTTGGGTGATTTGGCCCAAGTAGACTAGCTCCATTGACTTAATGGGGTTCAACATTGGTAAAATGCACACAAGCAGCTTTTTAGTAGCTAGTCTCATTGCTGCTGCAGAAAAATCAATCGCAATGGAAATATGTAAGACACAATGAAATGTGTAGGGTACGTGGTAGTTTTCATGAATTGTACCATGTAGAGTTGCCACTTTTTTGGGTTTTCCCCCAGTCCTGCTCCACTACATTTAACAATAGCTGAAAGGCAGAAATAAAGCAAGTGACATAAAGGTAGTCGCCAAGTTCCTACAGTCTCCAAATTACAAATATCCAACTTAGAAATGACTCATAGTTACAGGGGAGAGACAACAGGAAGTGAGAGAAATCTACCACTTGGAAGGGAAATTCACTTCTGAAAGAGTTACCATGGGAAAAAGGTGTCTCCATTGAAGCCTTAACCTTGTTTCCACAACATGCCATTTTTTCCAAAATCCAATTCTCACAGATACAGAAAGTGAGGTGAAAACGTAACAGGGGCACAGGCAGGAAAACAAACACCACAAGGGTGTTAGCCCTTCCCTATGTGAAGCTAACAAAGGCAGCAATTCGATACCACAAATAAATAACACAGTATGAAATCATAAATACATACAGAGTTAAAACAATAGCAATTAATTATAACCAAATTGTCATAGCAGTCATTAAATTAAAAACAATACTCACTCCACAAACCCATTGAGAGATGTATATATAGAGAGAGAAAGGGGGGGGGGGCTGGAGTTACACTTAAAAACGTACTTGTTCTGACTTACATACAACTTAAGAACAAATTTGCAGAACCTGTCTTCTTCACAACTTGTTATTTCCCCATCTCTTCAAATCCCTGAACAGGAAAATTCAACTCAATGTCAAGCTATGATTTCTGCATGTCAAGTTGTTGTCAGACACAAGGAAAAAGACGTTCTATAACCTCTGAGCCAAAACTGAATGCTCTACATGTTTAAAACCACAAGTATTTGGGAAATTGCTCAATTGCTGGGCAGACCAACAAAAAAAGTTACTGTTCTGACGAATTGTGGTATTCTCTTCATGAAGGGACTGCTGTTTGCAGACTGGTTAAAAAAAAACATTTTATATACAGACCATTTGCTTTCTTGTTCAAAATGTTGGAGGTTTTTTCATGTTCTCTGGTTTTCTTTCATTTAATACTCTTAATTTAGGACCACCGCTTGGGAAAGTTACTGTTTCAGACAATTACTAATGTTCTGACTGGAAGAACGTGCAAGATGTAGTCCATATTTTCTCCCCTATGCACTAACCTATTTAGTGGATGTGAGAGCTGGACGATAGGGAAGGCTGAGCGAAGGAAGAAAGACGCTTTTGAACTGTGGTGTTGGAGGAAAGTTCTGAGAGTGCCCTGGACTGCGAGAAGATCCAACTAGTCCATACTCCAGGAAATAAAGCCCAACTGCTAATTGGAGGTAAATATAGTAGAAGCAAAGATGAAGTACTTTGGACCCATAATGAGAAGACAGGAAAGTTTGGAGAAGATAATGATGTTGGGGTAAATGGAAGGAAAAACGAAGAGGGCAAGATGGATGGATGGATGGTATCCTTGAAGTGACTGGCTTGACTCTGAAGGAGCTGGGGGAGGTGACAGCAGACAGGGAGCTCTGGCATGGGCTGGTCCATGAGGTCACAAAGAGTCAGAAGTGACTGAACAAATAAACAACAAAAGAAGGGTCCTTAAATGAGCCCTAGAGGGACAGGAAGTTGCAAGTCGTCCAGCCCATATTGCTTTGAGCATATAGTAAATTTACAATACAAAGAGAACTGAAGAGAAGGAAAAAAAGCAACACGCGAAGACAACTCCTCTGAGGCCTCATCTACACTGCCATATAAAATCCTGTTTGCCTGAACTGGATTATCTAGCAGTGGAGACTCAGATAACCCAGTTCAATAAAAGATAATGCAGATTATCAATTTTGAAAATATTTTAGAATTGTATTGTTTGGAAATGTAAGAGCTTTCCTAAACCACATTCTCTTTCTGATTCTCAAATTATTTCTTTCCCTCTGTATCTGGCTGGATATACACTAAAGGAGATTCCATCTGAACATTAGGAAGAACTTCGTGATTGTGAAAGCTGTTCAGCAGTGGAACTCCCTGCCCCAGAGTGTGGTAGAGGCTCCTTCTTTGGAAGCTTTTAAACAGAGGCTGGTTGGTCATCTGTCAGGTGTGCTTTGAATGCAAATTTCCTGCTTCTTGGCAGGGGGTTGGACTGGATGGCCCATGAGGTCTCTTCCAACTCTATGATTCTATATAATCCAGTTCAAAGCAGATAATCTGGATTCAGAAACTGGATTACATAGCAGTGTGAATGGAGCCTCTCCCCACCCCTCTCGCTCTCTCTCACACAACCCTGTAACATCAGAAATGGAGAACATGCAGACTTGCAGGGTTTTCAGGCTGTAGTTCCTATTATACTTCTGGATCATCTGTGCTGACTATTGCTGTTGGGATTTGTAGCATGCCTTCAAATGTTTCACAGATTAAAACTGAGACATGTATGGCCAAGCAACATCAGAGTGTGGTTGAAATGAGATAAGGTGTTAAGCAGAAAGAACATACACGCTACGTAGAAGAGGCCACAGCAGTCTGCTTTTGCCGATAAATACTAGGAAGAGTAAAATTCTGTCTTCTCCTCTGCTCTGGCTGAGTTAACTATGTTTGTACTTTGAATTTAGTTTACAGAATTTGAAATTAGCTAAGAAGAAGACAGGAAAGAGAGAGGAACGTAAAGCAAGTAGAACATTTTAAAAGCACCCAAAAATGGGACAATAAAATATTAATTTGGACTGTCCTTTCTAAATCAACACAGTTGGAGCATAGGTAGTAGTCATAGTTTGGACTCTGGGATTTGTATTCAAAATAGGAACTTCCCCATACTTTAGTTGGAGATCTCAACTATCTGGAAAGCCACCGTTATACAGTCATGAATAATATTCAGAAGAAACATACTGACAAACAATAATAGCTCTTCTTTCATGGCCACTCCACCCAGTTTTACTTACAGACTTATAGCCAGATTCCTCCTTACCTTGTAGTCATGGGCAGCTTCCTCAATGGGCAAGACGGTGTGCATGCGATGCTCTCGCGATTTGTCGCACACCAAGCAAATGGGTTCACTATCATCCTGGCAGAAGAGACGCAACTTCTTCCCATGCTTCTCACACAAGGCCTCGCTTCCTGCATAACCTTTGCTCGGTCGCAGAGCCAGCCGCTCAATGCCTTCCACAATGTTGGCCAGTTGCTTGTTGGGGCGTGAATTGTCGAGCAAGAATCCGGCCCGGCATTGTGGGCAAAGAGCTGCTCCAGTTGTGGAACCTGCGCCTCTCTTGCAGTGGTCAGTGATGCATACTGAGCAGAAGTTGTGGCCGCAGTCAATGGTCACAGGGTCCCTGAGGTACTCCAGGCAAATGGAACATGACACTTCGTCCTGCAGCCTCTCTATGGAGTCAACCACTGACGAGGAAGACGCCATGACTGTGGAAGATTTTCTTCTGTCTGGGTGGACAAATACTTGCCTTCTCACAGAACGTTCCACCATGAAGGGAGTGGCTACTGCAGGGCGGGGAGTTCTAGCTAGTGATGATTTCCTTCTTGGAAGCCCTCCATGTGGGTTTCTGTGTTTCAGGCAGTTTCCATTCCAAGTCCTAGCAAACAACAAACACAGAAGGCAACAGCCTTAGAAAGGAAGAGAAAAAGAACCAGGCAGCCTGCCAAGAGAGGAGGTCATCACCTTGGACGGTTCTTGCAAACAAGTTCCTGCAATGTATAGCAAACAGATTTTGCTGTTCACACCTTCTACTGAATTTCCCCTGATCCTGGGCCACACTGCACCATTATTGGTTGCAAGCATTTTGGGGTGTTGGGTGCGGGTTAACGCTACCGAGATTACACTTGCAGCATTTCTACTGGAATATTTTCTCCCACCTACTAAAAACCACGTTTCTTGCTCAAAATGGGAACCTTTCATAAGCATTCTTCAATATAAGCTCTCATATTAGTCTTGAATTCAATTGTGTTGCGCAGAGCATGTTTTAGCCAAGTCCCATGCAAAAGACACACAGGAAACAGGAAAAGGGAACAGAAAAACTTTTATCAGCAAAGGCATAATCTTGCAGTGTTGCATACATAATCAAACAGTGCAATAAACTTACATAGTCCTTGTAAGAAACACAGAATAAGGCTTCTGTATCTTCATTCAAACGTGAGAACAAAACATAAACCTTCAGTAAATAGCTATTCCACCATAGCAAAGAGCATCGTTGTTAGAGCATAGCAGCATTACAGCATATTGTTTCTCTTTCTCCGAGTAGCATATTGCTTCTCCAAACTTCTTTAACACACACTTCATCCTGCTACAACTTACTGTAACAAACTGACCTAATTTGGGTGGGATAGTTCTGGTTAATCCTCTGTTGTCCCAATTTTTCATCTGCTTTACAAATGTCCCGGTTTCTCTACCTTGTTCTTGCTTTGCCCCATAGTTCTCAGCTTACTTCAATTGCTGTAAGCAATTGAATACAATTGCAAGTAGAGTTCAAATTTGCTTAGAGGGTAGGGAAGAAGAGCACAAACTCTTGCCCTTCCCTGCAGCCTCAGATAAAAGCAAACTGCTTCATGGTATCCTAGCTTATGCTTTCCCTTGTCATGAATAATATTTTCGCAATCTTGACTGTAATCTCAATGTTGTTTGTATTTCATGTTTTCATCTGTGAAATGTTGGAGGGTAGAAAATAGTCAGCAAACATACGCAATTGCGTGTGCCACTTTAGAGGTCTGTCCCCCCTCAAAAAAGGATAAAGCATAAACTTCTTTTCTATGTCTTTCTCTAAACAAGGCATATTCAGATAAAAGTGAATGTATCTTGCTTTTTCAAATAGTCAAGTGTTCGGTGCCAAAAAGACTGCATGAAACTGAAGTGGTAAGGAGGGGACTGAACAGTGACATTCAAATAAATATGATCAATATTTAAAAAAAAAACAAGAAGGAAAATGTTTTCTTAAAAAAAAAACCCAAATTATTAAATTTAAGGCACTTTAACAGGTTTTTTTTTTGGTCCAAAAATGACTATCAAACAATTTTATAAATTGTCAAAGGCTTTCGTGTCTGGAATCACTGGGTTGTTGTAGGTTTTTCGGGCTATATGGCCATGTTCTAGAATCATTTTCTCCTGACCTCACAACCTCTGAGGATGTTTGCCATAGATGCAGGTGAAACATCAGGAGAGAATGCTTCTAGAATATGGCCATATAGCCCGAAAAACCTACAACCCAATTTTATAAATTTACATGATGCAATAGTTTGGGCATTGGACCTCAACTCTGGAGACCAGGGTTCAAATCCCCTCAGCTATACAAATCCACGGAATGATCCTGGACAAGTAACACACTCTCAGCCTCAGAAGAAAGCAAGAAAACAGTTTCTGAATAAACCTGGCCAAGAAACTCCTGTGACAGTTTTGCCTTAGAGTTGCCATAAGTCAGAAACAACTTGAAAGCAATTAAGCTCATACGATTTATTCAATTTCTCAGTGGAGGCTGAAAACTAGAGGAAAATATTGGGGATAGATTGGAAATCATGTGTAAGGGGGTGCACAGCTTGATTTTCTTGTAATTTTTGTGTATATGTTGCTGGACTGCAGCTTTCATGATCCCTTAACCTTGGCTATGCTGCCCAGAGCTGATGGGAGTTGCAGCCGCATCTTTCTGTCTTTGATATCCATCTGAAGCTTAGAAAAGAGAAAACTGTGTCCAGAGCAGAACCTGGAAAAAAATTATCATTTTAGAGCATACATCTCATTTGGGTCAGCTGAATTCCAAAGAAAATAACTTTACAAAGTCCGATTTAGAGAGAATTGGTAAGTTTCAAGAGTCACCCATCCATTTCTTTGCAGCTGCAGAGGCAAGCAAAGTGGAAACCTGAAACTACACAAGGGTTACTTTTGTGCTGTGTGTGCACATGCGAAAGTGTGAGCTGTCAAGTCACCTGTCTACTTATAGTAATATCCTGAATTTCATACCTGGCAAGATGTGCTCAGAAGCAGTTTTGCCACTTCCTTCCTCTGAAATAAAAACTACAAGAGCTGGTATTTGTTGGCTATCTCCCATCCAAGTACAGATCAGATCCTGGCCCTAATAAGTTTTCAATATCAGCCAGGATCGAGTGCCTTTGTGCCAATAATATTTCCCTGTTGCCGGAGGAAGTGCTGAAAAAAGGGAGAGAATGCCAACTAATTCCTCTCACTGTTTTTGAGTGGAGTGAGCCAAGCTCTTTGGGTGAAGAGTTATCCAAGTACTTTTGTTTGTTTACTGAGTTTTTTTTGCTGCTGCTGCTAAGGAAACCTTTGCCTGAGACTCACCTCTTAGCCTAAGCTGAAAAAGTGAAGGGTGGAACTCTATGTTCTGCCAACACTAATATAAACCTTCAATGTCAGGTGATTATCTTGAAGATGTCACTGTTTCTCTGGTGGGAGAAGGGAAGTGTCCCATTGCTGTCACTTTTCTGAGATGCAGGAAACTCACCTGTCTGAAGTTAGTTGTGGTTGTCAGTTCCTCCTCCTCCTTCCATCCCAAAATTAGATTAGAGATATGTCTGGAGTTTGCATTTGAATGGCTGATAGCTAGCGACCCACGGAAACAGATTGTTTTGTGCTCCACAGGTGGGAGCACATAACAAATACAATCATAAATAGAAGTTCACTCACACTACATAGTTCTAATACTATTATTCCATTTCAATTCTCATGGTTCCATCCTCCATAATTATGCAGTCTGTATTGTTGTCATAGGACCAGGGGAGCTCTATGGGGGCTCTAAATGTCCCTTCTTAAACAAAACATCCTACACATTTCTAGGTGAAACCATGGCAGTTAGAGTGGAATAATAACATTGTATTTTTGTAGTGTGCACGGGCCTCAGGGTTGATATTAATATCTTTTAGATCTCTTTATGACTATTTATTTCACTTGATGTACCTAATGATACAATAGACAGACAGTGGAACGTGCCTTTTTTGCTGCTCTAAACAATTACTCAGTGGGCACATTTAAATATTATTTTCTGTGTTTAATTGATTGTACAACCAGACACCTACCATCTGCATTCAAACAATTCATATGGTCTGTTTTGTTGCCCATGATCCTTCTACTTCTGAACAGCTCTTATGATGCTGAAGAGAGAACGTGGAGACAAATATATATATGAAGGTTTATATTATGTCACTATTTCAAAGATCCCCAGGGCTGATGGTTACAGGAAATTTTCAAAAGTAAACTGAGATCAGTCATTTTATCCACATCTAGGGTGGACCATTCAATTTGGTTCCTCATTCCTGATGAAAAACCAAAGCTGTAATTCCAAACTTTGCCAGTGGTCTAACCAGGACAGTGAAATTATGACAGCTCCTTTTCCTCTTATTCTGACTGTACAGATTTCTGTTTTGGCCAAAGACTTAACTGGTAATAGATCTACCTCCACTTACTGTTCCCAAGACAGCGTAAACTCCATCTTTACATATATATAAGTCAAAGTGTGCATGTATGTTTGTTAGTTACTATAAAGATATGGCTTGATGGATCTGGACCAAACTTGGCACACAGACCCTTCATTATCCAACTTTGGACTAAAAGGTTGTCTAAAAGAACAAGAACAGAGGGGAAAAAAGAACAAAGTGGATTGGGCTGTAGTTTGGTGAAGGGATTCTGGCAACCAGGCCCGTAGCCAGGATTTTGATTCGGGGGGGGGGGGGGGCGGAGTTTGGTTCGGGGGGGCTGAGTCTGGGTGAAAGAGGGTCTACCCTAGCAAACCTTTTGTTTTGTTACCCCAATACCCCCATGCATATGGGATATATTGAGCATGGTGATCAGATCATGATATGAATAAACATAACAGTTTAAATAATGTACCAGTAAGGCCTTCTCGCGGACCACCATGAGAATTTCGGGGGGGGGGGGGGAGCCCTTCCCGTCGTCCCCCCCCCTCCCGGCTACATGCCTGCTGGCAACCCATATGATGGAATCGTTAGTCAACCAAATCAGAACCAGAAGCTCTCTTCCTCTGGTGGGTTCAAGGCCCCTGCCATTTAATGCAGTTTATCTACACTGCCATTTAATGCAGTTTGAACTACATTATAATGGTTAGTGTAGACTCATGTAATGCAGATTAAACTGCATTGAACTGGATTATGGGAATCTAATCTGCCATATAATGCAATTCAATACAGTTAATCTGCATTCTCAAACTGCATTATATGGCAGTGTAGATAGGGAAAAAGTGTTAGTACTCAGATTGCTGGGCAAGTTTGAAATTCACTTTCACTGGGAATGGTTGAAAATTTTATTTGGTTTCCTTTTGTTGAAAATAAGTTATACAAATGCACAAACATCTTCATACATAAGATAGTATTAGCCTGAGATCTTTACAAAATGGGGAAGAATGCAAAATGGGTAGATTCATTTACACACAGGAAGAGGGCTTTTGAGGACTTAATTCTTCAGTCTGGTTTGGAATTTTCTCTAGATTTGTGGTGCTAACTTAGGGTTTGTCTTTTTTAATGTATTCACTGTATTCAGAGAAGGGAGTGGGTTTTTTTTTTTTGGTTTATTTGAAACAGCTTAATACTGCACCTGAACTATTGTTTTCTCTTAAATTTCCATCTCTGAGTAGTGAATGCCCGGGTGCAAAATGGTGATAGCGGCCCCTTGAAACTGTGCTGGCACTTTCCTCTCTCCACAGAATGACCCTCAGCTTATTCATAGGTCATATCAAAATCCATAATTTTGGCCCTTATACATGAGGTGCATGAATATATACAATAGTCCTTAGAAAATGAAAGACTAGATGAATCTAGATGTGACCTTATCACTAGGCAAAGTGAGGCAGCTGCCCTAATAGCAGGTACAGAGGGGAGAAATGATACCTTTGTTGTTCTTCCTGGATCTTCAGTTGTTCCCATTTTTGAGGACATTGCAGTATAAGGGTATGCCACACAACTTACTCTGCCTGCCTCCCCTCTCCTAAAATGCTGGCTGCAGATGCAAACACCAGTCCAGTGGCTTTTGTAAATGGAAATGGACCCCATGCATTAGTCATAGGCAACAAAATGCCTTGAATTGACCCTGGATGTAATTACAGAAGTATCTACTAGCTGACCTCAACCCAAATGACTGTCCCAGATATTTCTTTAATATATATCAAAAGCTAGAATAAATTGATCAGAAATTCACAGTCCACCAGACACATAAATGCAATCTTTCCACATACTTTTTTTTAAAAAAGCCCCATTCCTCATGAACACTGATAAATTAGGATTAGAAACCTTTGTCCTCTTCGCAATAAAGCAGTCAAAAGTGTGTGTGTTTTTAAAGTCCAAACTGTCTATTTTTCAGCCTCCAAAAACATTATGGGTAGCAGCAGGCACCTCCGTCCTCTGACCTGGGCACAGTTAGCACCAACTCTCCTGGCTCCAGGGTGGAAATCAAGGGTGCCACAAAGGGAATGCAGGATGTTCCTGTGGGTTCAGGATCCTGCTTTTCCATTGTCTGTCTTAAAAGGTAGGGCTAACTTGTGATGAGATGCCCTTCCTAGCAGTTCTTTTCCTTGCTGGACCATATGTACACCTCATGTCTTATAGTCTGGATCAAGATTCGAGGTCTCGTGAAAGCCGAAGAAGTTCCTTCTGGTTGTCAATCACTTTCAAGTGCTGGAGGTACACCCAGGTAGCAGCTGGACTCCGAGTGCTGAGGGACTGCTCTGAGCCTGAAAAGAAATAATACAGTGTCATTTAGGAGGGCCTCACAGGGAAGATTATATAATCTGCTATTATGGGCAAACATTCCTCATACTAGTGAAAAATAACCTTCAAAGCAAATTAAGAAAGTTCCACCAAGTTACCAGATTCTATAAGAGATTTGACAGAGTTTGACCAATCTCCAGGAAAACGTCAGAAGCTGAGGTTTATGCATCTGAGATTATTTCTAATATACATAGGAGGGACTGGTGGTCTGCAGACCTTCCTAATCTTTTCTGTGGCTTGCAAATACATTTTTCAGAACTTTTTGAAAAAGTGTTTTTATTTTAGTTGCATAATTTTGATTCTGAGGAAGAAAAAGTACTCAGGATTTTGATTGCTTTGGCACATGCTACAAGACAGCGTTGGCAAGGGGAAACAATGGGGGCCCTGGAGTTGAAAAAGCAAACTGCTGCGCTTGCAAGCAATTTGGAAAGGGGTGAACGTTCTCCCCAAACAAACCCATCTTTTTTTTAAAAAATCATCATCATCATCATCATCATCTTTAATGACTTATTAATCGCCCTCCATCCGAGATGCTCCAGGTGATTTACATTGCAGAAATTATACAGGATAAAACACATACATACAAATATTAAAATTAACATGGGTCAAATGCTCTAGTAAAAAGCCAGGTCTTAAGTGCTAGGATAAAATGCCCTGAGTCAAGCATGGCTCTCAAATAGGGAGGCAAGGAATTCCGTAAGGCAGGGGCAGAAATAGAGAAGTCCCTGTGTCTGGTGCTTTCCAAGTGCACTTCCCTAGGACCCAGTATATAGAGCAAATCACGTTGGGATGGTCGTGGCGACCTCCGATGAAAAAATGGCAATCTTGCAAGTGCTGGGGCCTTTTGGGGCGTTCAGGTGCCCCACTTTGGGGTCACAAGGACCACAGAGAGCCTGTTGATAGCACTTTGCCCAGTCCTGATACAATTCAAGCTGCACACTGGTAAGTAGCAAATTACTACAATTTATTTATTTGTTTGTTTGTTTGTTTATTTATTTATTTACTGTTTTATATCCCTCCTTTCTCAACCCTGAAGGGGACTCAAGGCATCTTACAGATAGGCACCAATTCAATGCCTTAAAAACAACTTAGGATATTATCCAATTGTCCTAATTTGGCAGGATTAGTCCCAGTTGTTTTTCCATTTTTTTAAGACTTCTAGTTTGTCCCTCTTCTTTCCACTTTCTCCCTTTGTCTATGGCTTACTTCAATTGCTGGAAACCAAGTTCAGATTTCAAAAGCAGTTTGCAATCATTTGACCTAGTCCGGGGAGAGGAGAGAAGGGAGAAGAACCTTGTCCTTTCCAGTATGCCCAGGCAAAAGCAAACTGTTGCAGCCTCTTCTCACTCGTCTATTACCCTTATTAATAACTTTTGCTATTTGAACTATACTCTGATGTGGTTTGACTATATATGTCCCAGTTTTCATCTTTGAAAGGTTGAAGGGCATTATTACCTGACAAAACCTGTCCAGAGTTTTAGGTAGGGATCTTTCTGAGTTCTACCTAGAGACACCAGGAACTGAAACAAAGGTTGTTCTGCATGCAGACCTTGTGGTCTGCTTCCCATGTGTTCCAAAGTAAACAAACAATCCCCTCTGAAACAACTCACAAATATCTGGACCACAAGAAGACCCTGGAATGCAGTGTTTGCATAAGACGGTCATACGGCGTCTCCATAGGGAGGGAGAGAGAAAAAAGCAGGGCAACTCCAGGGAACAGGTGTCGTTTATGAGTAACACATTTACTATATACCCGCCCTGTCTCGTATGCTTACAGGTGGAGGCGCGCATAGCCCGAGCTTCTTCCAGTAGGTGCTGAGGACGACTGCGCAAAGGAGACAATGGAACTGAAAGTGGAAGAGGAAAAGAAAGGTAGATAAAGACATAAATTTTTATTGCTAGATTTCTACTTTTTCCCCACTAAAGGAGTTTTTTTTTTAAATTGCCTCTCCAATTTCTGTCCCTGGGCTCTTCACACGCCTTTTACTGTGATCTGCGTGCCCACATCCCATTCTCTCCCTTTTCCAGTAAATTGTCAGCAAACTGCTTTGAGTATGGTTAGTTACCTTAGGGATAACTTAGGGATAGACTTTTTTTTATATCCAAATGAATCTCAAAGAGGTATGGATACATAATGGATTGTTCTAGGAGTTTCTGCTTGCTCAAGAATTTCTGTTTGGGTGCCTTGTGTCAAGAGCCATTGTGGCATAGTGGTGTGAATGCTAGACCACAGCTTACAAATCTCTTCCCAGCCATGGAAACTCACTGGGAGACCTTGAGTAAATCACACCCTCTAAGCCTCAAAGGAAGGGAAGGCAAACCCTTTTTGAACAAATCTTGCCAGGGAAATGCTGTGATAGTGTCAACTTAAGGTTGCCATTAGTCAGACACGTCTTGACAGAACACAACAAGAACCGAGTGTCTTGCAGCACTCATTAAGTTGGACACATAGCTTTAGCTCCAATTTATTATCACTCCCAAAACCCAGATTCCCATTTTTTTACACTCACGGTTGGGGAGACTCCTACAGTAATGTACCAGATGAACAGCCTTGGCCATCATATGCTGTATGAAATAGACATGAGCTACTATTAGATTTGCTCTTTCCATCAGAAGGATATATATGCTTGTATACATTGTTCATGCAGATGATCGTGGCTGATTTCAAACTTTTTCTCCCCACTGGATAAAATCACAAGTGCATTGTTGATGATGGGGTTTTTTTGGGTCTATTAAGACTTTTGAGGGGAGCATGGGGTTTATGCACCCTTTTGCTTTTGTTCAGAATACAGTATATATTGTGCAAATGTTGTTTTGTGAACATAAAGAATGTAGATGTTTTGTGCAAGCATTTTGCCCAAAAAGGTTCCCCAAATGCAAACAACCAAAACAAGAAAACCTTGTAAAACTTGATTAAATGTGCAGGTAGATTTAAAATCTCTATGGTGGGTTAATGACATGAGCTGGAGTATGGTTTCAAAAACCCCATGGATAACTAAAATCTATGGATGCACAGATCCCATTGTGTACAATAGTGTAGTAAAAATATATTTAAAATATAGCAAAATCAAGGTGTGCTTTCTAGAATTTGGGAGGAGGATATGTTCAAGTTGTGGTGAAATGAGTGGATAAAGAGAGCCAAGAGTACTGCTTCTTCAGTTTTAATATGAAGCAATCCATCTGTGGGTCAAAACAAACAGACAAGCAAACAAATCCCAGGCATGGTAAAAGGCCCTGGTGCTATTCAAAGCTCCTCAGTATTTAAAAGGCAAACATTTTTGAATACAGAAAGCAGTCTATTTTTCCAATGAAAGCTGCCTCTTATTCTTGCTTATGGTAGAGTTGCCTCTGCCTCTCCTACTGTGCCCTCTTTGCCACTTACCAGCTTCTCAAAGTTGACAAGGTTTTCCACTGATGTTCGGTTGCCCTCATGGATGAAGGTCATGTCTGCAAAGTCAAGGTGAGTCAATTTAATACACACTGCAGATAACCAATCATACTAAAATATTTTACATATTACGGCAAACTGAAAGGTGGCACCTCCTCCTGTTCCATGTGCAAAATCCACAACATGGTTTATTTTTTCCTAAATATTAGTGAAGGTATTGCCTCCAATATCAGGCTGAAAGGAAGCCAATTAGCTTTCTTTTCCACAAATTTGTTGCCACTTCCTAGCAACATCTGAAGCATCATAGGCTCTCTGTGGTTGGGCTCTGGCATTTTTGTGAATGCATTATTTGATCAGAGTTTGAAATGCGTTTGAAACCTTACAGTTTTTTGACAAGGTAGAAGTGCACTCTTTGTCAGGCATTTCCTAATGATCTCCCTAGAGTCCCCTGTTCTCTAAAGTCTTTTTGCGGTCATAATGAAGTCATGTACTTTTTAATCATTGGGATAGGTGTGAAACATTTCAAATAATAAAGCATGTGCACAATCACATTTAAGAACCCTCAATGGCTATGCTTTGGCTCAACTTTTGAAATTACCAGCTGCTGCCACCTGCTCTGAGAAGGCCTACTTCACAATCTCTCCATGGCAATGCTCTGGAACTCTCTTTGGGAAGGCTCTTTGTGGCTCTTTCTTTCTTCCGTTTCCCTCGTACACATTTTCCCCCACTCTTTTCTTCCTTTGTTTCTTTCTTCCCTTGCTTTCTCTCATACATCTTCCCACACCTCTTTTCTCCTTTTCTTTCCTTTCTTCCTTCCCTCCTTTTTCTTACTTCCCCTTCTTATCTTCCTTCTCCCATTCTTTCTTTTCCCTTTCTTTACCTCCTCTTATACCTTTTCCTTTTTCTTTTTTCTACTTTCTCTACTTAGAGCACTAAGATCTCAGGCAAAGAAATGTATTCATGTAAACCTGGACCTAACCACTGACATTAATTTAAATACCTTAAGAATGTACCTTTAAGAAGGAGGGGCATAAAAGGGATCATGGGTGGAGTTAGTTTGGCCATAGCCAGTCTATAGATTCGGTGATTCCAAGAAGGATCCTAGAGAAAAAGAAGAAATGTTAATGGTGGGACATTTCCTGCTTAGTGCACATTAGGCATATAATACTTTGCTTGCCCAGGCCATTCTTCCATGATGCTATCACCAGCACCAGATCAAATGGTAAACTGTACCAATTCAGACATCAGGTGAAATAAAACATGCTATAACATTCCCACACCACAAAAAAACAATACACATATGATAGCATGAAAAAGAGAATGCTTTCCCTTTGGGGATTTTCACTGTTTGAATTCTAATTGCCAGCCTGCAAGTGATACAGTTAACAAATGGGTTTCATACCACATATGCTGTTTGAAAGGAAAGCCAAGGTTGATTTGGCACACTTGAAATCATTAGGACTAAAAGCCAAACCATACATGACAATGGAGCATGTCATCAGAATAGAAATCCCAATTTTTATTCCAAATAGCTTCAGCTACAGCTTTCTTTCTATCAGAATGAGTAGGAGAAGTGACATAGGAATGGGCCTCATTCTTCATTCTGATTGTAGGAGCATCTTTAAAGGACCTACCCAAGGTGCTGAACCTTTTTGAGGATAACATTAAGTACATTACACGGTACTTTTGAAATCTGGAATAAAATCTGGAGTGGATGCCCCATACCACTTATGTGGAAGACACCAGACACCATTGAAATAAAAAAAGGTCCTCAACAGCTTAGTACATCCCACACTCACCAGCATTCGTTCCATGGTGTTGAACAGCTTTCGCATTTTATGAGGTAGCTTCTGGGACATGAAAGAAAGAAAGAAAGAAAGAAAGAAAGAAAGAAAGAAAGAAAGAAAGAAAGAAAGATGTTTAGAAATGACTGGCAAATTAGTATAGAAAGTCAAAACAGGTTCATACATGTGCAGTGTATTGTTTTGATGATCAAGTGATGCTTTGCATGTATGAAAGAACTTTGAGGTATCAAATCCAAAGGTAGACATGTTCAGGTTTTCTTGCAGTAGCTCAAACAAACCAACATCTCATGCAAAATCCCTGCTCATATCTGAATCACTCACTGAAGTAAAAACATAGTAATTGGAATAAAACACTAATGTCTAGTCTCATCTTTTGTTCTGTTAAAAACTAATGAATCAGTAGAAAGTACCAATTATAGTACCCGTGGACCTGTGAAAGGAATATTTATGTAAGTCCAATTGACCAAATGGGGTTTGTTCCAGTAGGAATTAACAACTGGATTAAGGTCAACATGCTTAAGGCGCACCCAGACAGCCCCTTTATTGTGGAAACTTCGACTGTCGAGCTGACATTCTGGCCAACCCGCAATTAAGTCTCCACAAACCAGGAAAACCCTAGTTTGTGGCGAATTAATTAGATAGTGGATTTATCCCGCACCTTCTTCGAAGGCGTGGGATAAACCCATTACTTCTGGTGTCTGGACTGCAGTCCAGATACCATTCCCACAGTTTTCTGGACTAAATTAGTCCAGAAAATTTTGGGAATCCCACCCCTTCCCCCAAAGCCCCCAAACCCTTTTAAAAGAAAGGAAAACTTACCCAGCCTCCATTACAGTGTTACTGGAAATCTCCCAGCACGTAGAAATTATGCGCCAGGAGAGTGCGGGGGGGGGGGGGGGGGGGGGGGGGGAGCGAGGCCATGTAAGTTTTCCTTACTTATAAAAGGAAAGTAAGGAGGGGCAGGGTCTCCAGATGTTGTCTCAGGCCAGTCCCTGAAGAACATCTGAAAGCATGCACTTTTTGGGGTGGACTTTCTGGGGTGGGTGTGGATAGGGGCCCAGGAAAATCCACATTTTTTGAACGCGGATACTCCTGGGATAAAGAAGCGCACAATCCTGATCAATGACTGTAATAATGACTGAGTGTGAAACTTTGAATGATCAACACTAAAAAGAAAAAAGTCCCTAGATTCAAGTCAGTTTCCTTCCTGAAGTCCAGATGCCACAACCTTTTAAGACCCAAACAGAGCTTGGTTTACATCAGCCAGCGATCATTTGACTCATCCATTTGTTTCAACATAACCTCCAAGTGTGGGCTCTCACTCTTGAACTCTGAGGAGACAACTTCCAGGATGTGGTGAGACGCAGATTGATGGTAAGTTAAAATATGTGACTAGTTCATAACATTCTGTTGTCACTTTGGGTTAAATCGCTGCATCAAAAATGTATGAATCATAAAGAGAGGCCTTAAAGTTGCTAAAAGTAACAGCGTACTATTTTTGGCATCCTCTTCCCAAACACTTGCATCAGGCTCATTGAGGAAGGTGACAACCTCTCACTTGCAAAAACATCTTGGCCACATGACAGAGTATTAAAATGATCCTCTCATTGAGGTCTTCGGGTTTAGTTCTGATTCTTGCTTTGCTAACCTAATCTTTTGGTTCAGCAGTATCCCACCTCTCCAAAAGGACAAAATCTGGACTACAGGTTGTGAAATTCAGTTTGTATTTGTGTCAGTAGAATGGCAACCACACCGGCAGCAAGGATTGCTGGTCTAATTAGTTTATCTTCCCTCTCAACAGCCAACACATACCTCCCATGTCCTTGAAAGACGGCTCACGGCTGAATGGCTCAGTCCAAACATCACTGCAAAGAAAGTGTTCAGGTTCTTTTGGTCCTTTAGGCTGAAGGAAGAGGAAAAAAACAAAAGAAAAAAAAGACAGTCAAGCCAAATCAAGAAGTCAGTCAGCCGCAAAGTTGAGTCTGAATTGAAGATGTTCCCAACATAAAGCCCAGGTCAAGCTATGGCACGATCGCTACTAAATAGATTATTAATAATTTAATTCTATTTTAATATTGGCCCTTTTAATGCTTTTAACTACATTATTTCAATTTGTAAGGCAGAATGAGCCCCAGTCTTGAGGACACCTGACAAATTATGTCCTCTCTTTAGGCGTTGTTGAGATCCTCCAGCATGATTCTGTGGTATTCCTTAGGCTTTGCTACTACACACAGTTTTGCATGTCCACACAATGTCTGGGAATGTATCCCCTGTGGATACTGGGATTGTAGTGGGAGGAGGAGGAGACCACCATCACAACATGAGTCAACAGTGTGATGCAGCAGCTGAAAAGCCACATGATTCTAGGCTGCATTAAAAGGAGTATAGTGTCAAGATGGAGGGAAGGCATAGCCCTATTCTACTCTGCTTGGACCAGAGCTTTCCTGGCATACACTGTCCAGTTCTGGGTACCACAATTCAAGAAGGATATTGATAAACTGGAATGCGTCCAAAGAAGGGCAACTAAAATAATCAAAGGTTTGGAAGCTAAGCTGTAACGAAATAGCTAATTATAAGGTATGTTTTAAATGTGTTTATTAATGTTGGGATATGATAGGTGCAGGCCAGCTGATGTGTCACCTGAGCTGAGGCGTTGCTATAGCAGCAGAACCAGCTGTTAGAATGTATCCAAGTTAGAGAAGCCAAAGGGGCGGAGCTAACTGTCACTTGGCAGGAGCAGGCATTCTAAAAAGTGAGTTTCTTTTGGTCAGTGTTTGGTGAGGAAGCCAAAGAGGAAAGTGGTTCTGGTGTGTTGAGAAACCGGACCAAGGGATCTAAGTCTTCAGCCTGTGTGTTTAGAGAGTCAGTTGAACCTGTTTAAATGAGCAAGTGGCTCGTGAGCTAAAGGGAAAAGAAACCCCAGTAGAAATCCATAACTTCAGTGGGGATAGCTGAAGGAAGAAAAAGGCAAGCCAGTGCCTTGAATCGTCAGTTAAGAGAAGAAAGATACTTTGCAGTGAAATAAGTTTAAAACCAGTCTGGTGGAAGTAAAAGCCATACTGAGAGTTATACTGGAAACTGTTTAACTAAAGTAAACTGTAACAATATTTAAAAGAATACAAGATAACCCTAAAATGTCGTACACTTGTGAATCCTTAAATAAATATTTCCTTGATCAGTTCTTTATAATTAAGACTCATGTCCATTTATTGAGAAGAAGATTTACCTCAGAAGAAGGCGGCTGAAGATATTGGAAGAAAGGATTCTGGTTTGAGTTACTCCTTTTAAAAAGAAGTGCCTCAAGTAAAACATTATAAAAAGTCAAGCCTCAGCTACACACACCACCACTACTTTAGTCTCCTCATCGCCCTGGTTATATATATATGTCATTTGTTCGTCGTATTTTACACAAGCCTTATGAAGAATGGCTGAAGGAGCTTATTCCACTCCCCAGATTTGAACCACCGACCTTTCGGTCAGCAGTCGTGCCGGCACAAGGGTTTAACCCATTGTGCCACCAAGTTTCAACAGGTGAAAAGAGATTTTGTGAAAAGAAACGACTCCAGCCCTGTTTACCTCTCCGAATGTATTCTCCCCTATGAACTATCAAGATTATTAAGATCGTCTGGAGAGGCCCTGCTCTCGTCCCACCGGCCTCGCAAGCGCATCTGGTGGGGATGAGGGACAGGGCCTTCTCGGTGGTGGCCCCTTGACTCTGGAACTCTCTCCCACTGGAGATCAGAACCCCGTCTATCCTGACATTTAGGTGAAGACTTGGTTATGGAGACAGGCATTCAATGAGTGAGCCAACACCCTGAGATATGGATGGAGGATGATGAGCAATGATTTTAGTGTGACGACTGACCATTATAGTTATTGATTGTAATTGCTGTTTTAATGTTTTACTGTAATATGTATTATGATGTTTTATTGATTGTATGTGATATTATGGTTGGAAACCGGTCTGAGTCCCTCAAGAGAGGTGAGAAGGCCGGTATACAAAACTTTTAAATAAATAAATAATTTTTAAAAAATAATACATACACCTCAATTTCATTTTAACTTGGAGAAAAAAACCGTGAGAAGAAACACAAAAGCCATGTTTAAATATTTGAAATTATGTTACATCGAAGAGGAAGCAAGCTTGTTTTCCATTGCTCTGAAGACTAGGCCATGAAGCAATGGATTTTAATTACAGGAGAACAATTCCACCTAAACATTAGGAAGACCTCCTGATGTAAGAAATGTTCAGCAATGGAATATGCTGCCTGGGAACATGGTAGGAGCTCCTTCTTTGGAGGTTTTTAAGCAAAGGCTGGGTGCTATGATTGTGTTTTTCTGCACTGCAGGGTATTAGATTGGATGACCCTTGTGGTGTCTTCCAACTCTATGATTCTAGGAAGAAGAACGGAAGGAGGAGGGCACTGGGATGATAGTTATAATGGTGAAGCTATATGATGATGATGATGATGATGATGATGATGATGATGACAATAACTTTATTTTTATACGCCACCTCCATCTCCCTGAAGGGACTCGGGGCACTTTACACAGGGACAAACCCGAAGAATACAGATTAAAACATAGCACAATAAAATAAAAACGAAAACAACACATCAGGTGAAAACATATCACAATAACAAAGCAAGCATCATAAAAACAATATCATGGCTGAACGATAATAGATGCTGAGTTCAGAGGGCTCAGAGTTTGTGCAGTGGTGCCTAAATAGAGCCAAGGGGAAGTGCAAAATTCAATAAGGCCGGGCTGGGAGGGTAATGTCCTTAGACATTAAATGTCAGGATTATAGAACAGAGGGCCAAACTAAAGTGCAAGGAGCTTTGGTAAGATCAGGCTAATTCTCTGGTGAACTGCCTAGTCAAAGGCACAGCAGAACATCCAAGTTTTTAGGTCCTTGAGGAAGATGGACAGAGTAGGTGCCAGTCTGATCTCCCTAGCTAGAGAGTTCCAGATCATTGTCTACTGGTGATATTTATGGAAGAGGTAGTTTTCTTGATCACAGACAGTAGATCATGCTAACTCTACCCTTCAGATAAAGGATGTCTATGTCTTTAATGTCTTTATACAGTTACTTAGTTTTAGCAACTGAACCTAAAGACAGCTTGGGGCACACTTGTATCATATTGACATCCACGGTGAGTCAGTATTTTGCACCTGGTTTTATTTGGTGCACTCCAGGGTTCCTCTGTGAAAACAAAGACGATCTCACAAGGCTGCCCTGCTCATTGGCAATAAGTGCACCTAACAGATGAGATGTACTTACTGTGCTGCCATCTTGATGAATTTGCGGAGCAGCTGTGCCCTCTTGATAACATCTGGACAAAGACAAAGCTCAGTGGTGACCCAGAATTGCAGCTCATTGAAACGACGCAGAAAACGCTCCAGGTTGGCTGTGGTTGCATTGGGAAACTTCTGTGGCCCAAAAATGTAGTAGACCAGCTCCACCTTTAAAAATACAACAGCCGGGAGAGTCTCCGCTGAACTCCAACCTTAAAAACATAAGGCCGTTTGGCTCAGCTTCCACCTTAACACATGTGGACTAAGCAGAGCTTGCTACAGATAGCAAGTTGCTTTCAATGAATTCCCTATTGCAGTAACTAAGAATTAACTAAGTTCTTCTGGAACTGCACCTCAATAAGGAACAGCTTAATTATTTCACCACATAACTGTTGCTGTTTCAGGGTATATATGACTTAATCTAGCTTGTGTAATTTGGGTGTTTTGAAAACGTGGTTATATATTATTAGCTAATACTGAATAACATGAAAGCATTACTAAAACACTTTCCATTATGGCAACTTGAATTGAAATGCTAAGCAATAATATTTAAAAAAGTAACGTTCTCAGATCTCAAGCCTAGCAGTAAAAGATCTCTGTTCTTCTCCAGCTGTCCAAGGCAATTGCCAGAAAATGCTGCCCAGTGCCAAAGCCATGTATACAAATACTTGCAAGATTGGGTGTCAGGAAAACAAGGTTCTCCTAACTCATGACAACAGATGCTGCCTTCAAATGGAATCCTTACCTGATGGATGCTTTTGAAGAGATTCCAGTCGTGTTCAGTGAGCTGGTTGGCCAGATCTTTGGAACTGATTAGATCTAGGGTTTCTAAAGAACCCACAGTGGGACACTGTTGCTCAGGGTGAGGAGTCTAACAAACAGGGAGAAGGCAATGCTCATGTCATCATACAAGATCCATGCTCCACAGTTTGAACATCTCATCCTAAAATGATGCGGATTGGCTCCTCATTTGGATCATCCTTTGTTGGTAACAGGAATAATTTATGTTGGATGGGTACAGTATGAGACAGCTAATTAACATCAGATTCTTTAAAAGTCTCCTTTCCATGAAGTGGGATGACTGGTAAATCCATTACTGCAGAGGCAGTGAATCCAAATTTGGTTTTACAGCCTTTGCAATGTACCGAACTTTTTCTAGGGCCAAACTCTTGGCAGTAATAGAATTCAGTACATGAATGAGTCCCATATAATCAGGAACAGATGAGGTAGGAGCAGTTATAAAGGCAAGCAAGTTAGTCATATCTGCCATGGATCCATGTGAAACATAGACTTACTATTGTATGAAGTTCTTGAGCAGTGACAGCAAAGAGTCTTTCATTCAATCCCAATGATGTAAACACTCCAAAAGTCTCCATGGGCAATACCTCTTTATCTGCCAACAAATTAGACCAGGTAAGATACATGGTTGTATTCTCAAATTTCAACAAGGGGGCAGTGTTTCTTAGAGAATAATTCCAGACTGTCTGTGGTGTGTGTCTCCAAGTCACCTGTTAACTTATGAATTTCATAGTGTTTTCTTGAACAAAGAGTACTCAGAGGTGGTTTGCCATTGCCATCCTCTGAAATATAGCCAATAGCACTTATTGGCTGTTGTTAGCCTCACATCCAAGTACTAACCAGGGCTGATTCTGCTTACTACCAAGATCAGACAGGATCTTGTGACTTTAGGGAAGGCATGGACAGATTTTAGCCCGGCAAGTGTTTTGGACTTCAACTCCCAGAAATTCCAGACAGCTTACTAGTTGTTAGGAATTGTGGCGGTTGAAGTTCAAAATGCCTGGAGGACAGAAGTTTGCCCATGCCAGCTTTATGTCATTTATGACCAGTGATAATTGTCTATTTAAGAAATGAAAAGGTGAGCTATGCTGACTATGATAGTTGCAAACAATCACCACATGGAGTACATGTTCCATGTCCCTAGTCTAGTCCATATTCACATTTGTCTCCACAATATATTAGAGTGTGTGGATTTAAAGAAGGGAAGTGTAACATATGCAAGAGGCCAGTTTGGAAGCATCCTTTTAATATTCAGGGTGGACGTACTTTTGTCGTTGCAAGGGTCTCTCTCTCTCTCCCTCCCTCCCCCTCTCCCCCCCTCTCTCTCTATATATATAAACACACACACCCATATACATATACACACAAACACTCCACAACTTTAAAATGGTTTGTTCTACAACTGTGAAATAAAATCTTGCTCTGAATGATGCCATTTGGACGGCATTGAAACACCTCTCCACAAACTTCTTCATAAATTAGTTTTGTTTTTAAAGCAGTGGTGATAGCAATGAGATTTATGAGCATATGCATAGATAAATAACAGGTGTGGCATTTTAGTTGTGTTTAAAAGGAATATCAGGTAGACATCAATGTCAATTTTAATGTCAACTTTCAATTTCTTACAATGCTATGGGGAAGAAACCTGAAATCTTGGCAGGCTGGTGTGGAACAATGGTTAATGTTGGCCTGAAATTTTAGAAATTGAGGTTCAAGTCCCTACTCAGTTATGAAACATATTGGGAGATGCTGGGAAAATAGATATATGGTAGTTTGACTAGGAGCAATATTGTGTATACGTTAGCATATTGCAGTCAAAAAAGAGTGAGAAATCAGTTTCATTGGTGTGGGGATAGGCATGATATATTGTTTATTGTCTTTGGTTTTGTGTGTGTGTGTGTGTATGTAGATTAGATATATAGATATAGTCTATTGCTTTTTGTGATCTAAAAATTATATATAATATTCAATTATTATTATTATTATTTTTTAAAAAAGAAGAAAGTGGTGTCTTGGGCTGTCAGTCATGCTTATTGTGGGAAAGCGGGTACCATCGTCAAGTGGAAGTCTCAACATCTCCCCGCAATTTCTGTTGGACAAGCACACAGTCATTGGCCTATGGGTATTATGCAGAGTGTACTAACCCCCTGATGAATTGACTTTGATGAGGATCCAGTCCTTGCTCCAGCCATGACAATCTGACAGTGATGCAAGAACTTCCTGCACTGTAGCATTGACCTGGAGCAGTGTTGTGAGGCAGGAATTGTCTGGTCTGTAGATGTCATACATCACTATATAAGGGAAGGGAAAGGAGAGAATGAAAGGGAGGAATATTAGCACTTTACAGGAGAGCACATGCTTTGTGTATCTTACGTCTCTAGCTCAATCTATACTATAATTGAAAGTCTTCTTGCCAGTTTGTCTGCTTGTTATGATGTACTTACCCATACATATGATCACAATTAACAAAACAGAGACACAATTTAATGCAGTGTTTCTCAAATTCTGCTCCTCCGGGTGTTTTGGACTTCAGCTCCCATAAATCCCAGCCATTTTACCAGCTTTTAGGAATTGTGGAAGTTGAAGTCCAAAACACTCTGAGCAATGTTTGAGAAACACTGATCTAATGGAACCAAAAGAAAGACAATTGTAAGGTTTTGGATTTGATCTAACAAGTACTATTGATGTGTCCTGAACAAATACTTCACAGGTCTATATTTTTTGCTTTGACCAAATTTGCTATTGATTTTCCAGCTTAGGTTAGACTCAATTAGCAGCTGGCTTTTTCAAAAAGCTAATGTTTTGGTCTGTTTTGCATGGAACACTATATGAAACAAAATTTAAGCACCATAAGTGCTCTAATTCATCTTTTTGGTTTTTTCAAATCATAAGTGAAATTATTAATATCAGCCTAGGCAAATTTCCCAGTCTCTTATATTCTCCATGAAAGTATGGACAGGCAGATACGTTTGGTCTGTGATCAAAGAAACAATAAGACATTTACCTTTGTCCTTGGCTCGGATAGTATAACTACTGTTCAGGTATGGCTCCTCCTGCCTGGCAAACCAGTCCACCACACTTCGCACCTGGGAATGAGCCAGGGAGGGGGAAAGACATTGAAATATATGTTTTTAATGACAAGTTTGCAAAACCACTGCTATTTCTCAATATTCTGTAAAATAAAATGAAAAATATCCAAACTTAAAGAGAAAAGATCTATATTTCTGCTCTCCATTATCTCATGTAAAGTGGAATGTAGTAATATTTATTCTGTTCATCTATCTGTTCTGAATTCTGTCTTATTTCCAGACAAAATGTTTCAATTGGCTTTTTTGTGTCAGGAGCGACTTGAGAAACTGCAAGTCACATCTGATGTGAGAGAATTGGCCCTCTGTAAGGACATTGCCCAGGGGGTGCCTAGATGTTTAACCATCCTGTGGGAGGCTTCTCTCATGTTTCTGCATGGGAAGCTGGAGCTGACAGATGGGAGCTCACCCCACTCCCCAGATTCGAACCACCAACCTTTCGGTCAGCAGTCCTGCCAGCACAAGGGTTTGACCCATTGTGCCACCAGGTTTCAACAGATGAAAAGAATTTTTTTAAAATACTGCATACAACTCAATTTCATTTTAGCAAATGCTGTTGAACAACCTTAAGAGAATGTATCAGGAAGTACTGCAACACAGAACCTTTAATTGAGGCATATTATTTACCTGAAGTGTTGGTGATGCATTGTTGCTGCCATTTTCTAAGCTGTGAAAAAGGAAAAAGGAGAAGTGAGTCCATTTTAAATCTCAACAGCTGTTTGTGTTGGCTCAGGCCTTTAGTGAAGCATATGCAACATCAACTTTGCTGGACAAGCCACATTCTTCGAATGTCCGAATACAGTCTCCTGAAACAGCTACCTTATTCTCAGTTTAAGAACAAAAAATGGAATGTTGCTGGATATTTAAAGATGGGCTTAAAGTTAACCTTAAAAATGTGGAATAAACACCGAGAACTAGGAAGCCCTGACCCTTGAACATTGTAACTAGAGTTCAGCTGTTACCAGCGGTGCTATGGATTTTGAAGAGACACGAAAAGAGAGTGAAAGGGAGAAATGTGCCAAGAGGAAGGTGCATCAAGCAAACCTTTGCTGGGACCACTTTCCATCTGGAAATCTATATCCTCATTGTGAAATACTATGCAGATCCAGAATAGGTCTGTACAGTCACTTATGGACCCACCAGCAAGTTCATACAAATACTTTTTTCATTAAACAATCTGAGATCTGAAGTTTCTCATTTCTTACACAGATTTATAATGTGAGGAACATCTGTTGTGAAGCCATAGTCAGATGGTGTGACAGAAATTAATCATATGTCATAACATTCCACTGCATAATACAAACATTGAGAATGGTAGGCTCACTACATATTTCTGGATTACAACTCCTTTTATCACTACCCTTGGCTTCCAGGAGCTGAAGTCTAAAATATCAGGAGGAACAAAGTTTCCTCACACATGGCAAAGACTAGGCATCCTCAAACTGTGGCCCTCCAGTTGTTTGGGCCTCCAACTCCCAGAATTCCTGACTATTGGACAAGATGGTTTGGGCGTCTGGGAGTTAGAGACCAAAACAGCTGGAGGCTGTCTGTTTGAGGATGCCTGGTATATACTATAAATTACTTCCAGAGGGGGTTACTATAAGTGGAAGCAAAGGCAAAAGGCCAGCCAATGAAAGTATATTCTAGTTCTTGAAATCTTAAATCATAATAAACCTGTTCATTTCTAAGATACTACAAGATTCTTCATTGTATTGTCGAAGGCTTTCATGGCCGGAATCACTGGGTTGTTGTAGGTTTTTTTCGGGCTATATGGCCATGTTCTAGAGGCATTTTCTCCTGACGTTTCGCATGCATCCGTGGCAAGCATCCTCAGACTCTGAGGATGCTTGCCATAGATGCATGCGAAACGTCAGGAGAAAATGCCTCTAGAACATGGCCATATAGCCCAAAAAAACCTACAACAACCCAGATTCTTCATTGTATCAAGGGTGGGCAAAAAAAGAGTAGCATCTATAAGATAATTTATGAGTTATTTGCCATTGTTCTTTAAAGATTTCTGGCTCATAAATGTTTCAGAGCAAGACTCAATAACTCGAAAGTTTTTCTCCCTTTATGTAAAATAAAAAGCAACAAGGAAAATAAGGAGAAAGATTAGTTTTGTTAATTAAGAACAATCCTGCATTGATCATGTGCTCAGAGGTACCATTTACTAGGCGATCAAAAAAAATGGTTCTAAACTGTGTTCGAAAGTAAGGGGCGCTGGTGATTCAATTCTAAAGTCACTTCTGATTGAAAATTGAAACTTTCCAAAACTTTGGAATGTTCCGAAACAATTCATTAATGGCGGATGCGCATGCACAATAGAGGAAGACAGTACTGACACTAGGGAAATTTCAGAGGCTTCTCTCTCCCTCCAAACAGAAAGGAGGCAGCTGAACCTCTCCCCCAAAAAATAACTTTGTTGCCTTTCCCCTGACTTAGGGAATACACATGGGTGTTGGGGTCCAGGAGATATAGGAAATATTATAGAGCAATAGTGTTATAATGTTGAAAACACAACCCAAAACAGAACGGAGGCAGTTGAACCCCAAGAAAAAAAACTGTGGTGCCTTTCCCATGACTTAGAGAAGGCATCTGGGGGTTGAGGTTCAGGACAGTTTTTGGAGAGAATAGATAAAAGTGACCCCCCCCCCCCAAAAAAAAACAACCCCAGCACTGAAAGGCTTTCTTTCAGATTTCACAGTCACTTTATTATTTCTCTCTCCCCCTCCCTCCCAAACTTTTCCTTCTTTTTCTCCTCTCTCTCTCCCTCCCTCTCCCAAAATCTTTTCTTCCTTCCTTCCTTCTCCAAACCTTCTTTGGCTCCAATGCCTTTGCCTACCTACCCTTTCACCCACCCAGCAGCACCAAAAAAGATCCCAACCACCCTAGTCCCTTCCCTGGCTTTAATGAGCCTTCCAGCCATGTGCTTGGGTTTATAAGTGCTTGGGTTTATAAGCCCCTCCCTCTTACAAAACATAAGCCCTGATTAGCTGGGGGCAAGCACTTTAGGCTGCACCTCCCAGCAGGCTTACTTTCATCAAAAAGACTTTCTCATACTTCCAAATCGACTTCTGAGCCATTGAAATCAATGATCCGGGTCGCTTCGAAACTACAGGGGAGTTCCTACTTGCAAGTACACTTCGGAACCCAGTTTGGAAGTGTGAAACTTCCGACTTTAGTTCCGACATCCACAACTTTCAAATGAACTTGCCCATGCATACACTTTAGCATGCTGTAATTCTAATATCTTGGCCGCAATGTTAATATTTGGCTCCCCCTGCTGAATCTCTGCAATCAAATAAAAAGACAAAAATCCAAGAAGACTGTAATCTTTCCAGTCCTGAATTACCTATTCCTTGTGCATTGTGCACAAAATTTGAAACTGAATGGAAAACTCACATTCGGTTCTTCCGCCGATCCTGCAACTGCTCCTTAAGCAGGGAGCCTAGACGAAAGTCCTGGGCTACACGCTCTGAGAGATTCTGCAAAACAGAAGCCAAAACCCATCAGCAGAAACAGCCAATTCTTATTTGGTTTGTTCAGTTTTTATCTCTTTTAAAGAAGTACATTGCTAGTCCATAATATGCAAAAAGACATGCCTGTGTGAGAATCGCCAAAGTCCATTTCTGTATCCCACCAGTAAGGAGTAATACAATATAGGTTGACATAGAAAAGGGATTGTTCAGTTGTGGCACCTTACTTATGGAAGGCCCACCCCATGGAGACCTGACTGATGCCAATACTCATTTCTTTTCAGGAATGGGTTAAGCATGGCTTTTTATTAGCCATTACAAACTAAGTTACTTCAAAGTATTATGTGGTTGTTGTTTTAAAAAAATAAAAACACACAACATTTTTAGTTCTTTTAGTTTTTCAAAACTGTTTTAACTATTTTAAAATAAGCTGTTTTTTTAAAAAATGTTTCAATTGAATATGAATTACAAGCACAATTAAAGAGTTTATTGTTCTTGCTGTTTTGTGCCTACATTTTTTCTAACTGATGGCAACTCTAAGGTGAATCTAAATGGAATTTTCTGAGGCTAAGAAGATATGATTTATATAGTCACCCAGTGGGTTCTCATGGCTGAGTGGGAATTCAAACCATGTCCCCAGAGTAATAGTCCAATGCTCAAACCAGTATACCATACTGGCTCCATGCATACCAGTTAGATTTCTTACTATTCAACAACTCCATAAATGGTTTCCAATCTTTCCAAAATCTTCATTTCCAAAACCCATGTGAGCTTGGCAATTTGGGTTGATTCAGTCCATTGCCCTGTCATTGATGCTTGTTTGTTCTTGCTACTGCTATCATAAATTGAAGTACTTCATTTTTCTATTCAGTTCTCCATACCTGTACAGTATACTGGACCTTGAGTGATATAATGGTTTGTGTATTGGAATATGAATCTGGAGGCCAAAGTTCAATTCCCCATATTATTGTAGAATATAAGCTGTTTAGTTACATTTTAGATTTAACATACACTCTAAGCTACCTTGGGTCCTATTCGTTGGAATAAATGAATTGACAGATTGATAAATAAATAGAAAGGATAACATCGATTACTTGGTAGATACTGGCCTCTTCATTGCTAGAGCTGCTAAGTAAGGAAGAAGAGAGAGCCAGAGATGGACTTTCTCATTTTTGGCTCTGGACCTGATCCACTACTAGTATGTGACTCCCAACTATGATTAAATGTGTTCCTTGGCAGAAGAAAAGCCTGCCCTTGCTTAAAATTTATTGTGGCACTTGTGGACTGCAAGTGAGTGAGGATAGGATGGGATTAATTGAAAATAACCAGTTTGGAGGAAAATTCCCATTGGATACAGTTAGACTTACAAAGCTGAGCTGCGTAAGTCTGCTACCAAGATTTTATGAAGTTCAAGATTTGTAACATTTTTTCCGATGAAGACCCAATTTCACAAACATAAGCTTCCTCAAACCTAAACAAACCCCCACTATTATTTTCCAAGTAGTGTATCAATGTGTGTGTGTAGACCCTGTGACAACATATGACTTGCCCTACTTCTTCTTCACCCTACTGGTACTTTTCCTGCTCTCTGTCCACTCTGTTACCTGCAAGAAGGCCACAGCACTGGGTTCAGCCTGAAGCAGGCGCCCATACATTGACACCCACTGGTTCACCAGCCGCAAGATCTTCTGCCTTTTGCTCAGGATGTAAGCAGCCTTTTCCTGTTCAGTGCCCTCTGAAGGTTCTGAATGGAAGGTGAATGATAGGTCAAGGAAGCAGAAAGCCATGTGCATAGGAGAGACCTATTCTCTGTTAATGGGCCCTGATAGTAATGGATAGGTATGGAAGGATAAATTTTTTTTTCATAATGCCTGATAAGATTATCCCAGTTTCTTTCCAATATAGAAAACTGGTCCTTTTTTGGTACCCAGTAGGAAACCCCAGGCTAAATCTTTTTCAGCAGTACTAATGATATGGACCTATTTTTTGCGTCATAGGGACATTCAGGAAATAGAAATGGCCCTAGATTCCATCCATCAGGTGCTCTTTGGAGCACCAGGCCATCAATTCATTGGACTGAAGTCTGCATATAATGGGATGTGTGCATGAGCAACTGATGCACAACATTTCTAGAAAGGGGACCAGAGGAAGTATCAGTGGGGGGATCCTGTCAATGATGAAGGATGCCAAGTGATGGGCTAGCCCTTGCCAGTGACTCCACAAAGTGAAAGACCAGACTGGGAAATAGACTTCCAACTCAGTGAAACTTCAAATGACAATGCCTTTTCTTTCGCGGCCATAATATCCAGAAGACATACAAAAGTGAAGGATATTGTTGGAACAGTGTTCTGCACAGCTGTGGGGTTGGCATGAAAACATCATGGGTCAGGAGAAAATCTCCAAGGCCAGCGTCTGTAAAAGGAACAGAGATTTCAACATGAGGCATGAGTGTAGACAATCTGCTACCAGGGAATACATGAATATGTGTCCTGTGGCCATACTCTTACGCAGGGGTCGTCAAACATTTTTAACAGAGTGCCAGGTCACAGTCCCTCAAACTGTTGGAGGGCCGGATTATAATTTGAAAAAAAGCATGGAGGAATTCCTATACACACTGCACATGTCTTATTTGTAGTGCAAAAAACACTTAAAACTATACAATAATTAAAATGAAGAACAATTTTAACAAATATAAACTTATTAGTATTTCAATGGGAAGTGTGGGCCTTCTTTTGGCTGATGAGACAGGATTGTTGTTGCTGTTGTGTGCTTTCAAGTTGTTTCAGACTTAGGTTGACGCTGAGTGAGGGCCGGATAAACCACCTTGGGGGGCCATATCCGGGCCGCAGGCCTTAGTTTGAAGACCCCTGCTCTTACACCATGACCCAGAACTCCATATCTATGTCAATACTCAGATCATGCATATACTAAAAATGAATGCCCTTTTCCTTTTAACGGGACAAATCCAACCAACCACTACTGAGAGATGTGCAAATGGAGATGAAAAAAAGAGATAAGTGGTCTCTGAAAGCACAGAAAATCACTGGCATTCCAGGAACAAGATATAGGACAAGAGCACAGACTGCACCAAGACAGGCTCCTGAAAGCCTTGATAAAGCCCCAGATCTCAACTTTAAATCAGGCTATGAACAAATTGCTGACTTGAAATGCTACCCTGCAGTAACTCTTTCCTTCTAGAATTCTTCGACTTACCTACAGGATCCGAGAGCACGGAATCAGGACGTATGACTTCCAGCAAATAATCAAGTATTTTTTCAGGGGTTCCAGCCATTACTGAGTACCTGAAGGAGACAATTAGTCATGGCCTGAGACAACATAGACTAACGGACAGTAGGAAGACCCTTGAGATGACTGTAAACCGAAACAGGTTTTGAAGCATTTCCTTATATCATTAGGTTTGATAGATTTCCCCCCCCCCTCCTCATTTTTAGAAAATATGAGAGATTACAAGATTATTCAGTCCAAAGCTCCATTACAATAGATTTCCAGTTTTACACTATCCCAGAAGCCATTACTGAAGATTATATGAATACAATCTATGCTTACATGTGTACTGTATCACATATTTAGTAGTCTTACATCTATGTTTAAAAATTCAAGCAAACAGATGTGCAAGTTGTGACTTGAATAATATTTCATGTAAAATTTCATGGAGATCCTACATAATTCAGAAAACACCATTAAAAAAAGAGCAGGGAAACAATGGGGAGTGAGTGCTGTACCTACTGCCCCCTGGAGTTCCAGGAAGGTTACTGCCTTGTGAATTCTTCTCCAGAACTAACACTACTTTCCCATGTTCCTTCAGCCGCATTGTGTTGGCTTCAACATCCTAGGGGAAAACAGAAGTTGATGGTATCACATGCACATTGGCCAAGTCTCCTAAAGCTGTCAAACAGCTGTTGACTACAAAATGCGGCAGGGTTTCCAGACTGCAATACAACCCCTTCCCACACCCACCTTGAGGATGCGGTTGAAATCCCGTTTGTCCACACGGAGGAAGTGGCAGTTGTCTTCCCGGAGGATGATGGTGGCTGCACGTGGGGCATCATTCACAAGTGCAAGCTGCCCAAATTCATCACCCTCATGCAGTGTTGTCACCAAGCCCTGCAAGGCAAGGAAGGGCACCTGACCAATGTGGTTCAGTAGATAAAACTAAATATTCTACTGGCAAACATGAGTAGCCACCCTTGAGCACCAAAATCACCCATCCATTCACTTGTTTTATATTGCTATCTCTCCTCATTGATTTATCCATCACCAACAGACTTATTTCAATTCTGTCAGGAGGTAGGAAAAATCAATTAAAAATAGCTTGGAGGTAGAAATTATAGAAAAGATTATGAGGGTGGGAGGAGGGATTCAAGATACTATCCCACTTGTTTTGCACTGGAAATGGACATACACACTCCACCTGTAATAAAAAGCAAGAACTAATATTAATGGGCTCCTTTAATTTGTTGTGCAGTATCTTCTTATACTCAACCCCCATAGGCATATTTATTTACTATTGTATAATTACTGAATTTTCACTATGCTACAATAAGGAAGGAAATGAGATCCCCACATTAGTCAATTACAATATAAATATCCAATAGCATCAAAAGATTAATTGAGAAAGGAAAGGACTAACATAGAAGCTTTTGTGTTGACAGGTCTGATGAAGTGCAATACAACTCACGAAAGCTTATGGAAGAAATATCTTTCTCCTAGTTAGTCTCTAAAGTTCTTTGGGATTTAGGTCATTTTCCAAGAAATGTGTATGTAATGGGAAAGAGGCAAAATCACTATTCCATCTTACCCTTCTCTGTGTGTGTGTGTCTATCCACATACACATTTATGTGGACACTCATGCTGACCTAAGCCACCTCTACAATTTGGCACATGGAGGCTTTTGCCACACAATGCATAGCCAGGTGAAATTTTCAGCATATTCATAGATGGAGGCTATTTAAAAACAAAGACTGGGAGAATTGCAGGGACGCTTGGGTCACCTGATTTGGATGTATTATAAAGAGGAAAAAAGGGAAAGTATACTCAGTGGACAGCTTGTTAACATAGTGAAACACTGGACTACTGTGTACATTAAATTATATAAAAAGATAGCATGATCTAATGTACATATATAAAGGGGAAAAAACATGTAAATAAATATAACCTGGTATTTACATTTTAAGCACTCCCTCACCCTTAGATTTAAAATGTGACGTCTTCAGAGATGTATACAAACCTTGTCATGTGTGACAACATTGACTGATCCCTTCCAGATGATGTACCAGGAGGTGGCCTTGTCCCCTTGGCTAAACACTGTGAAGAATGAAAACTCACACATCAGTGCAATGGAAAATGCAGATCAGACATGTGCAAAAATTAATCTCAAGATGCTTGACGGGTAACTTAGCAGACATAAGACCTCAAGAGGAATAAAACACCAGAGACTAGTGAGGAGAATGAACAAGAGGTCTAAGTAGGAATAGTGGAGAAACAAGGCTCGTCTATACTGACTCCTTATTTCAGGACTGTCTGGAGCAGAGTTGCTCCAGATTGAACCTGAAAGTGGCTGCACACACCATCCGCAATAGTATCCAGCTAATCAAGTCAGTTTGGCCCTGCTGAATTGTCATTTTCTCTTCCTTGTCACCACCACTGCTGCAAAATTGTAGTAGAGCTCCATGAAAGCTCCTGAACTTTGCTGGGACTCTATACTGTCATGAGCAGAGGCTCATATGACCAGGGAGAAGGAAAGGGATGATCCTCCTTCCTCCTTACGCAATGCAGGATCCTCCACTAATGTCCGTATGGGGTGCCCTCAATGACCCAATGAGCTTCAGAGAACTCTACAGTCATCTGGCAGCGGCAACAGTAGTGCATGTGCCAAAACTACCCCCTGATCACCTAATCAGCACAGCGAAAGGTGGGTGGAAGCAGCAGCCTGTATGGACAACAGATTGGTCCACATCAAATGCAGTGCTGCTGTCCACATTGTTCCAAAGGCAAGAAGTTACTCCATTGCCCTATCAGAAAAATTCCTCCACACTGTATTTAAATACAGGCCAATTTCCAATTAAATAACAGCCAGAGGTACCAAGTGGAAGCCATTTCCAATTATGATTTCTACATTTTCATGGTATTTGATGTGCTGGGCCTTATAGAGGTTTGCATCGAATTAGGTACTTGTGAAGGCCTCTAGGAGTGGTAATTTTTTCACTTATTTTCACTGGCCAGATTTTTCACCACTATTTTGAGGATCACACCTAGTCGTTACTTGGAGGTGGGACCTCTGGTGCGGTAGGCTATATTTCAAACTAAGGAACTGGCAAAACTACTTCTGAAAACTTTATGAAATTGATGAGGTCTCCATAGGTCAACAGGTGCCTAGAAAGCACGTACACATACTGAGAAACTTGGGAGGGCTGCAAAAAGAGAACTCGTGTAGCTCATGGGTTACACCTTCCCCAACTTTTGGGTGACTTTATTAGCCTACAGACTACTTGGGGCAGTTATTATCTCTCAGCCTAACTTACCAAACAGAGGACAAAAACATAAGATAGTCATACATCCTACACTGATCTCCCTGGAGGAGACTCAGGCTCTAAATATAGTACATATATTAATACACAACATGGAAAGCAAATCTAAGAGCTTGTTAAATATATGGTTCCAATACAAGAAAGTACTTGTTCCACCTCCCTCACCCCAGTGTCCATTTTTAGAGCACCAATTGTTTAAACATGAAGATAAATATAGTCAATTTAAGGGGTGGGAAAAGAAAGGGATTTAAACAATGAACGGTTTATTTTTAACAGAAAAATCTATTCAAATGGAAGAATTTAAAATAAATTACAGACAATTAATCCATCATGGTGGCAATTAACACAAATAAATACATTTCAGATAAATATAATTAGAAATGAAGCTTCCCACCCCCAAGAGAGATATAATTATCTGAATCAATTTGCAATGACAAATTTAATCAAACCAAAGGGCAAGTTTCAAAACTAAATTGAATAATTCAGGAAGCAAAATTTGGAACATTAAATAGACTGTGATTGGTATGGGAATTGGATTTAAAGTTCAAATTGGAAGAGAAACAATGAGACTTAATCTTGAAAACCCAAGTGTATAAATCAATTTCAGTACAACTGAAAATACTTTGAAAATTATGCATAGATGGTACTATTATGGAATTTCCAAATTATGTTGGAGAAAGTGAGGAGACATAGGGGATTGAAGCCACATATGGTTAGGATGCCCAAAAGTACCAAACTTTTGAGATGAAGTTCTAGACAAATAGTGGGGGAAACAGTACATTTAAGGGGAGCTCTACTAAGGAATTCTGTATTTGAAAGTGAGAATAAAGATTTGGTAAATTAAAATCTTATATCCCCCAAGTTATCTACTGCAAGACTTGAAATAGTCAAAAGTTGGGGAGAAAAAACTAGAGAATTAAACAATAAAGAATTTGTTAAACAGGATAGAATCATAGAATCAAAGAGTTGGAAGAGACCTCATGGGCCATCCAGTCCAACCCCCTGCCAAGAAGCAGGAATATTGCATTCAAATCACCCCTGACAGATGGCCATCCAGCCTCTGTTTAAAAGCTTCCAAAGAAGGAGCCTCCACCACACTCCGGGGCAGAGAGTTCCACTGCTGAACGGCTCTCACGGTCAGGAAGTTCTTCCTAATGTTCAGATGGAATCTCCTCTCTTGTAGTTTGAAGCCATTGTTCCGCGTCCTAGTCTCCAAGGAAGCAGAAAACAAGCTTGCTCTCTCCTCCCTGTGGCTTCCTCTCACATATTTATACATGGCTATCATATCTCCTCTCAGCCTTCTCTTCTTCAGGCTAAACATGCCCAGCCCTAAGCCGCTCCTCATAGGGCTTGTTCTCCAGACCCTTGATCATTTTAGTCACCCTCCTCTGGACACATTCCAGCTTGTCAATATCTCTCTTCAATTGTGGTGCCCAGAATTGGACACAATATTCCAGGTGTGGTCTAACCAAAGCAGAATAGAGGGGTAGCATTACTTCCCTAGATCTAGACACTATGCTCCTATTGATGCAGGCCAAAATCCCATTGGCGTTTTTTGCCGCCACATCACATTGTTGGCTCATGTTTAACTTGTTGTCCACGAGGACTCCAAGATCTTTTTCACACGTACTGCTCTCGAGCCAGGCGTCCCCCATTCTGTATCTTTGCATTTCATTTTTTCTGCCTAAGTGGAGTATCTTGCATTTGTCACTGTTGAACTTCATTTTGTTAGTTTTGGCCCATCTCTCTAATCTGTCAAGATCGTTTTGAATTCTGCTCCTGTCCTCTGGACTATTGGCTATCCCTCCCAATTTGGTGTCGTCTGCAAACTTGATGATCATGCCTTCTAGCCCTTCATCTAAGTCATTGATAAAGATGTTGAACAGGACCGGGCCCAGGACGGAACCCTGCGGCACTCCACTTGTTACTTCTTTCCAAGATG